TCGTACTTTTCTCACCATTTTCATTCTAAACTGTATTATCATTATATATTTTGACAGCTAGCATTTTAAGGCTTATTTGTAAAAAATTTTGTTTGATTTTGTGCAATTGTTTATTTTTTGTGTCCCATCAAGTATGGAAGATCGAAAGCAGAATTTTTGGCATGTTTTGCTCTTTTATTACCGAAAAGGTAAGAATGTTCAAGCGAGAAAAAAATTGTGTGGCATGTACAAAGAAGATGTATTGACAACAACAGTGCCAAAACTGGTTTACAAAATTTTGTTATGGCAATTTCAATATTGAAGATGCACCACATTCTGGATGGCCAGTTGAAGCCAATGAAAACAAAATAAAGGTACCAATTGAAGCAAACTGCCGAATAATAACACGTGAAATCACTAAGAGATTAAATTTGTCAAATTGAACTGTTTACGATTACTTGAAACAAATTGGTTTTGTTTCAAAGCTTAATATGTGGGTTCCACATGTTCTTAAAGAGAGATGCTCTTTAAGAACTCTTTGGTGGGATTTAAAAAAAATTTTTTTGGAGCTTTTACCAGACAATTTAACAATTGACTCGAAAGTGTACTGCCATCGAGTAAATAAATTGAGTAATATCATCAAACAGAAAAGAACCTGTTTTGTTGATCAAACAGAATTGATCAACAAAACAGGTGTAGTGTTTTACCACAATAATGTCAAATTTCGCACAAGTTTGGTAACTTGTCAGAAACTGTTATAACTTAGATGGAATGTGCTATCATACCAACCATATTTGCCAGATCAAGCACACTCAGATTATTACTTGTTCTGGTCTATACAAATTTTTTTAACTGTAAGATATTTACTTGAAATGACAATGTCAAAAATCACTTGGATTAGTTTTTTGTAAGCAACGATCAAAACTTTTATGAATATGAAATCATGATACTATCAGAAACGGTGACAACAGGTATTTGACCAAAATGGTCGATATATAATTCAATAAAATATTAGTTATTATAAAAATATTGTCTTTTTTTCCATGGAAAAAGAAACAAAATTACTTTCTGAACAATCCAATATNAGTGGTGTGAATGTGCCATATGTCTGCTAGCATACACAGTGATATTTCATACTTTGAACATTCCAGAATTTGAATACAAAATTTGAGAGAACTTTAACTCAAAGTTCAAATGATGCTCCTATGATTGAATTATGCATGCAGTGAAAAAATGCACTTGCTACATAAACCCCAATCTGCACTGTATCCAAGTTGTCTCTCATTCTCCAATAAATTTTTCTATTTGCTTGCATTTTTTAACTTACCTTTATAAATGTAAACAATATTACAATAGTCTTTTATGAAGTTTTTATATACTAAATAGATGAAAAAATGCAACTTTCTAATTAAGGAAGAAAATTTAATAGATTGGCATAAAAATTATAAATCATAATTATTACATTAAACATATTACTATTATATATTAAATCTAGTTCTCAGAGAATAATTATTATCTTCAAAGTATAAAATTATAAAGGATACCTTCATTTAAATTTCACTTCAACACGTATGGTAAATACAGTATAATAATTTATATTTATTATTTTCATTTTAATTATACATTTTAATAATAATCTTTTTAGTATTCTAATTAAGAGTATATATAACCATAATAAAATTTTAAATGAGTTCATCTTTTGATCAACAATTTACAAGCTTTTCTTTAAGATAGTTTAATAATCTAAGATTTAATAAATATAGATTGTATTTTCATTTAAAAAGTTTCTATTTATTGTTTTAAAATGATACTTGTTAAATTTTTATAATAGTGTCAAAAAGTTATTTTTTAACATAATACTTTTAAAACTTTTGATTTTAATAGTAAAATGCTAGAATCAATATAAATAACTTTTATTGGAAGTATATGTAATAATAAATGTTAATAATTTATTTGAACTGTTTTTCTTATATACTAAACAAAAGAAAAATAAATAATCATAATAGAAAGCTATAACTAAAAATGAAACTTCACAATTTTTTTATTGTATACTGCTTATTTATAGAAAAAATATTAACTAATTTTGTCTTCTAGTTCATGAAATGAAATATATTTTATTAGTGAATAAAATGAAATAAAATAAATATTTTTAGATTATAAAAAGAAAATACTAGTGTGCGGATATTATAAAAATGAAATTAATAACAATAATTATAGCTTGTTTTAGTTAACATTATTTTATACCTGAAAGTTCTATTTATGCATATTATCAAACAAGTTGTATAAAAGTTGTTTTTTTTTTTATAAATCTAATTAATATATAATGTTTAATACATTATTTAAAAGATTTTTTTATTACTTGTAAGATTCATATCAAAATTCAATATTGTAATCTAATAATATATCTGGAAAGATTATTTTTGCATAGGTCATGATTTAAATAATGACAGGAAACAAACTAGAAACTTTTTGTAAATAACTGAATTGACCTAACTGTTTAAAAATAAGTAAGTAAATAAAAAATTGTCAATTGATAATATGAGAAGTTTAGCTGTTACCATATTTTAATTATTTCAAAATTTAAAAAATATTGAATTCTTTGTACATAAAATATTATATAAAATAAAATAATATAAAATATCATTTTTGTGTTTTTATAAAGCTTTTGCTAAAATTATAGTTTGAAAAGAAAATATAAGTTATATTTATGTAACTAAGTTATAAATTATAAATTATTGTGAAATTTTCTTATAAAAATTTTCTTACTGGAAAAATAAATGTTAATGAATCAAATAAAAAAAGTCTGAATTCAGATTGTTTTAAAAGTAATTTTATGTTACTAATCAAATTAACAATTTAGCCTACAGAAAAGCATTACCCAATAAAACTCAGAATGCTACTTTTAACAAATTTGAATAACTCAATTTTTAATCCATTTGAAAATGTCAAGAGAAAAGAGTCAGCTTGAAGCTTAATTTGAGTTTATCAAGTTTTTCACATACTAGTTATATATCTTAATTTCAAATTTATTTCTATAAATATGAATTTAGAGTAAAAAGATCTATACTCTAAATAAAAATATCAGTGTTACAGACCTAAGGAAGTTTTTAATATAAATTTACAGGTATTTAAATTTAGCTTAAAAAATTTTAGCATTTTGAAATGATTTAGTACAGTAATTTATTAAAATGAGTTTTTTAAACATTTTAAGTAATGATTCAATAGAGTGATATGTAAATATATAGAAATGAATTGTAGTACAATTATTGTATTACAGTATCATGACAGAAATTTAAAGTATGATTTAAGTGATTTTAAATTTTTTAAAAATTTCTTTAATTAAATAGTTTCTAAATGAAGCAAGTAATAATGCAAGGAACCTTATATATATACACTGGGCAATTTGTAAAATGTCTTAGTTGTTAGAAAGAATTGCATAACCTTTATTTGAAATTATATAATATATTGTTGTTTGTGATTCATAAAATGTAGACAAACGTTCATCCAGTTTCATTAAGGATGTAGTTTTACTTTACCTTTTAAAATTTATTTTTTTAATTTAAATTTTTATATTATATAAATTTTTTATCCTAAGTATCTATCTTGTGCATTGCTAATCAATGCAATTAATTTTACATTATTCTGTGTTTTATAAATGTAGGAGCTACCCATAAATTAAATTATACAGGTATGGATGGGTGGGTATGCAGATAATCATTAAGATGCTTTACAAGGGTGTTTACAAAAGTATTAGATAATGCTAGGGTCTTTGGTAACAGAATGATTCCTTTTTGTTTCTGAAGTGTTGCATAGTAATTATACTGTTTATGTCACTGCTTTGTACATAATTAATAAAATATGTAATGTTCGATACCTCATGCTATGTATTATTCCTTAGTGCAATTAAGCAGGTTGATTGAGGATATTGTTTATGTAATTTTTAGCAGTGGGTATGTAGGTGTGATATGTTATACAGTATTACAGGATGATAGTTGAAACTTATAAAAACAGTAATTTATGGATGATTCTATATACTGATTCATAAAGATCCTTATAATTATTTAACTGTAACAAAAGCAAATACTATTTACATTGAAATATAGTCTGTATTAAATTCTTTTTATATCATGTTTATTAGTGGTGTGAATGTGCCATATGTCTGCTAGCATACACAGTGATATTTCATACTTTGAACATTCCAGAATTTGAATACAAAATTTGAGAGAACTTTAACTCAAAGTTCAAATGATGCTCCTATGATTGAATTATGCATGCAGTGAAAAAATGCACTTGCTACATAAACCCCAATCTGCACTGTATCCAAGTTGTCTCTCATTCTCTAATAAATTTTTCTATTTGCTTGCATTTTTTAACTTACCTTTATAAATGTAAACAATATTACAATAGTCTTTTATGAAGTTTTTATATACTAAATAGATGAAAAAATGCAACTTTCTAATTAAGGAAGAAAATTTAATAGATTGGCATAAAAATTATAAATCATAATTATTACATTAAACATATTACTATTATATATTAAATCTAGTTCTCAGAGAANAATTTAATATTAAAATATATGTTTAAAATTGTGTAATTGCCAAAATAAAAAAATATATTCAAGTTTGCATCTTCAAGAATAAAGTTCCTTTAAAATCACAAAATAACCTAACTCCAAAAGACCTTTCTTTGTGCACTATTGTTGGAATCTGGTGTTCAGTTCTTCATACCTTCACCAGAACTAGGACTACTTCATTATTTTAAGGAATCTTATTCATCAAAATGTTAACTTTAAATTTATATTTTAGCTATAAAACTATATATATATAACTGTAAAACTAATATATTGTTTTATAATTATGCAGCTTAAAAACATTGTAACAAATATCCATTTATAATTTTTAATTATTATTATTATATAAATTAAAATATTTATTTTTAAGTTAATATCTTTTTGTTTTAAGAATTCACAATTTTTATATATTTATGTTACATTGAATTATTAAATTATTTATTAATTTCAGGCTAGTAAGATATAGAATGTCTACAGAATTTTAATTCATTGTGAGTATTTAATTTTAAAATTTAATTAAAATGATATCTATATTAAATAACATTTTTAGACAGTTATTAATTTTAATATTCTGTTTGTCAGGCAGATAATTTTTATGAAAAGCTGAACCATTTTTATCTCATTTTAAAAAATGCAGAATTCATCAGGAAGTTGTATTTCAATTTTAGAAAATCATTCAAATATTAATGAGGGAAATTTAATGATTGCAACAGAGATTCCTCAAGGTAAGTGTTTTAGAATAAACTTTATTTAAGTCATGTAATAATATAATGTAATATATAGTTTATACATAAATGTTAGAATATCAAGATTATCTGATAAAGCCACATGTTTGATTTGCTCTAATTATTCTTATGACACAAGTAGAAAAGATTTTTTTTAAAGATTTATTTGTAAATGAGATAATATGAAAATTTTTTACTCTTTCTACATGTTATTTAAATATTAATGTAGCCTTGAAGGCTTCCTTTTAACAGTGCATGAAATAAATAAATTTTTTAATCATTAAATTGATCTATTGATAAAAGTTTAAATTATTACTTAATAAAAAATTTCTAATATGAAGCTATATGAAGGTCCAGAATTAAAATAATGTAATAAAAGATTAGGATGTGTGGTAAGTCAAATCAGTATTTTCATTATTACAAGAGTATTTAAGATATGAATAATAATGATATTTAAGATTTCCATTAAATCTTTTTAAAAAAATTAAATACTTAAAAAAATTAATGGAAACAAAAGATATTTAAATTAAAAACTTAGACTTTTTTTTTACATTTTATGACATTAAATAAATTAATTAAAAGAATTAAAATCTGACATTTTTATTTCTGATGTTTTGTGTTGAAATGTTTAGATCTCATTCATTTTGATTTGTCATTTGACATAAAAGGTGATAGTGTGTAAACAAGGTGGCTGTTAGCATGTGATCAATGTGGCTGTTATTAAAAGTTAAATCTGTTACTTATCTTGTTTTGAATAAAGTGAATAACAATGAAAATGCATATGTAATGCACATTTAAATATACAAATAATAACATGAAAAAGGAATATTATCCTGTAATTTTCTTAAACAGCTTTAATGAAGGAATGACAAGTAAAAATTAAAAATTTTAAATTTAAAAGTTAGCACAAGAATTTGTTCTGTGCATTTTGATGATGATTGCTTTGTTTATCAGCCATTTACTAACAGAAGACAATTAAAACCAAATGCTATACCAACCAAATAATTTATATTTTAATGAGTATCAGAATAAGCTGAAACATAAGCAAACTTCACCTTATGAGAAGTTATAAAAGAAAATGAAGGTTAGTCAATTATGAAATATTTTTATAATTTAAAATGTAATTTTAATGAAAATTTATTTTTTATCATCATATATATCAATTGATTTTTTTATATAATCAGATAAATTATATAGTGTCATTACTATTATATAGTTTTGTTTATTACAGAGTATTGTTCCAGAAGAGTAAATGAATTATTACAAACAAAATTATTAATTATAAAATTTTAGATCTGAAATTGAGTACAGGAAAAGATAGTTTTTTACTGAAAATAATTAAGAAACTTAAAATATTACCTATGTTATTAACTCATTGATTATTGGAATTCAAAATATCACAAGAAAATTGTTATGATATACTTAACAGAAGAAAAGTCTAATCATCCAGTAATAAATGAATAATCTTTAAAAGTTAAGCTCTGTAATCTGTAAATTCATTAATTCTCTGAAAATATTCCATTAAATTGGAACAGTCAAAATCAAGGTCATCAAAACACCAAGAATAAAGTGTAACTATCTGATGTATTACAAACCATTGTCAAACGTAGTCTGTTGTCAAACACTATGTTTTCAAACTAACACATGAATTAAAATTAAGAAACCAGGAAAGTGAAGAGTGCATTACAACTATTTCACTGAATTATTAAGAAATGAAAATGCTATGAGAATTGAATGCTAATAATGATTGTTAATAAAAGTTATTACTTTAAATTTTTAAAAAGTTTATAAAATTAGTTTTTGAATAATTTTTTTCTTTTGATGAAAAATTCAAATAAATTACATGCATTTTACAGAAAGTATACATTTACATTGAAGAATGTAAAACTGGTCTTCTTGTAATGAGCATTTTGTCATCTGATTCAGAAAATTATAACAATTCTGTTGAAGTGTTCTCAATATCAAAGGCAGGCTACTGGGATTGAAAGAAAATTATAGTTTAAGAAATGAACATTATTAAAAATTCACATGAATATCAACATAACTGGTATTTATATAAATTTTAAAGCCAATTATTCTGATACATTAATAAAATATGACAAAGGAAGTATCCAAGATGATACCTCATTGTGAAATCCAAAATCCACTGAATGGTTTCTCTCAATTATCATCATTTCTCTTTTGATAATAAACAAACATTACTCTTAAGTTTGAATATTTTAACTATTTAAATTTTATATTTATAACACTATATTAATATTGTTTTTAATGTGTTTTGTTTTAAACTTTTCATATCTTTTAATATTGGGAATTGTTAATAAATTTTTGGTTGTATTAATTGACTATATTGCTTCTGTTATCAGTATATTTAATAATTATAATAAGACAATCCTTTGTAAAGTATTTTCAAACAAATCTTATAATACTTAAACTGTACAAATCCGAACAAAGTTCATTACCAGTTTGCACTACAAATATATTTTAGAATTCTGGACATTTATTATATTTACCTGGTAATGCATATAATTTTTAATGTTATCTATAGGGGAGTCATTAGTCTAATTCATATCTAGAGATAAGTTTTTCATAATGAGAAAGAGAATACAATTTTTAAAATATTTATTAGGATTAAGTCAATTACTCAAGAATTGGTTACAATTTGTAATTATTTAATTACGTTTTCTGTTTATCAGCTGTAAATAAATGTTTGATTTGTAATTGTTAAAACCTGCTAATTCTTCATATTTATTCAATCACTCTGACAGATAGTTGATGTATTGATAAATTTCACATTCTTATGGAAAGATATTAGAAAATTAAATGAAAAAAATTAAAGATACTAAAAAATTAAAAGTAAGAATGCAAGTTATACCTGTTAAAATGTGCATAGTTAATCTCAACATTATATCTCATTATTTTGCTTTCATATTTTATTACCATGCATAATTATACAGATTTTTTACGTATACATCATAAATGCAATTAATTAGACCTCAAAAAATATTCTGCAGTTTTTAGTGAATAGATTTTTGTTCTGAAAGAAGTATTAAGTTCAGTGAACAGATGCAAAGTTGATTTACAGTTTATAACAACTTTTTTTCTTGCATGTAATTTTAATAGTTCTTTGAACTTTATTTTAAATTCTTGCTAAAATTTAAAATATCTATGATTTTAAAAAAATTTATAAATTATTACTATTATTTTTATAGAAATAAAAATATTTAAATGCCTATTTATAATCTCAGATTTTAAGAATAGATGCAATTCTTAAAAATGTTTTTTGCTTTTTAAATTGAATTTTATTTTTTTATTTTATTTACAAAATTTTATATATATATAATTAAAAAATTAATTTTTTTTTATTTAAAGAAAATAATCAGATTGATACTGTAGTGCACATTGATGATGATGCTCATGATTCAAAAGAGGTAAGTGAATTAATCTAACTTGGAAGATAGAACAAAAACTATTTAATATCAAAGTGTAAGATTAAAAAGTACTTCAAAAAGTATTTAATGTTAACTTTGACTATAAGTAGGAATAAATATAATAAATATACAAAGATATTTAGTGAAATTTTTAGATGGTCATAAAATGTATTATATTGCAGTTTTCTTCAAACAGAATTATGTGTTATTAAATTAAATTGTGTGTTAATCTTTTGATATTTTAATTGAGATTAAATTATATGTTAACCTTTATATTTATACAATGAATTATTTCATTTGTTTCCTTTTTGAAATTTATTGATTGAAGCCCATTAGCTAATGGAATGCTCAAATATAAATTCACTTATTTATATATATTGTTAATTTCTAAAAAAAATTAAAAGTATTATTATTTTGTTCATTTTTACTTGTTTATGATAATTTTATCATCAGTACTGTTACATAGTACTCTAGACATTTTCTTTATTTTTTATAATAAATAAAAAGGTTTTCATTCATTTTCATTCTTCCTTTCTTATAAGCAAGATAAATTTATTAAATTTCTTCTTATGTGGTAGAGTCAAAAATAAACCGAACTTTTAACATAACTTTTTATTACAGTAATAGTACAAACGTTTACAGAAGTTGACTTCAAAATAAGCATATTTAGCAACTACATACATCTGCCAACATTCATACCATTTATTAAAACTGTCTTGCATCCTATTATATATTACTGCCTTGAGTACAGTCAGTGCAACATTTTTCACTTCAACTCTGTTTGCTGATTTGAATCTGTGACCTTTGATCTTTCAGTAGAGATTGGTGCAGAATTTAATGTTAATAGTTGCTTGAGGCATAATATTACTTTTTCAACAGTGCACACCTACGTATTCCAATTCTTTGATGTTTTGTGTTCTAATACGTCCAAATACAGGCATCTATTGCATGTCACACAGGCACTGACATTTTAAGAAAATGTTTGAACAGGCACATACTCATAATTACAGCTGTTGCTAAGCAAATTGAAAATTTGATTTATTTTTGACTCTATTACATAAAAGTTTATTTTGAAGTGATTAATGTATCTTGATAAACAAAGTGAAAACTATTTTGCATTACAGAAAAAGAAGGGATGGGGAAAAGCTATGAAAAGAAAACGTAATATGTGGGATGTGGGACCACCTAGACAACCTCTGACAGGCTATGTTAGGTTTTTAAATGAGAATCGAGAAAGGATTCGTGCTGAAAATCCTAGAGCTTCATTTCCTGAAATAACAAAAATTTTAGCTAATGAATGGAGTAAACTTCCAAGTTCTGAAAAACAGGTAATATATTACTTTTTAATAAAGTAAATGAATTTAACTCTAGATAACTAATCATTCGTCCACATGATGATGCATCTCCACTTGAAAGTGAAATTCAGAAACTTTCCCGCGTTTCTTGCCGGTCATTCTTTTTCAACCTTAATAATTTGAATAAACAGTGCCATGTGTGATGTAATTGTGTTCACACGTCAATTAGAAATTGACTTATGGCTATCCCGTAGTCTGCTCGATGAAAGTTTAGTTACTACGTAACTTTGTTGCAAAGTAATGTACATTATGTACATTGTTATGTACTGCAGATGTAAACAGTTAGTACATGATAAATGCCATTCCCTATTTGGGAAAAGGTACTGATCCTCAGAAACAAATATTGGCTATGTTTTTCATAAAGGAAATAACATCTATTTTACATGGAACAAACTGTAACATTACTATGGATAACAGGTTCACATCTGTATCTTTGGCGGATGAACTATTGAAGTCACCTTATAATTTGATCTTAGTTGGCACTCTTAGAAGTAATGAAAGAAAAATTCAAAAATTCTAAATCATGCACTATTGGTACTTCAATATTTTGTTATGACGGCAATAAGACATTAGTTTCATACAAAGGCAAGTCAAATACAGTTGTTTATGTTTTGTCGACTATTTGTAATCAACTTAACATCGATAAAAATACAGGAAAACCACAAATAATACGTTTTTATAATAGTACAAAGGGTGCGGTAGACACAGTAGATCAAATGTGTTCAAATATGAGACGAGACAAAACAAAAAAGTGGCCACTATGCGTGTTTTATAATATGCTAAACCTATTGGCAATAAACAGCTATGCTATCTATGTCTCTAATAATGTCAGAAACAAAAAAAAAAAAAACGATGTCCCAATGGGATTTCTTTATGAAGATGGGTGACAACAGCGGTTACAGACAGTGCCTTTGAGGTATGATATCAGAACCATAATACAGGATATTCTAGGTGATGTGCCCAGTGTAGAAGCTCCTACTCATTCTGCGTTAAATCTGCATAAAATATGCTATTTATGTCTATCGGAAGCTCAATGAATGACAAAACACTGTTACATGAAATGCAAAAATGCGTTTTGCGGCCCCCATAATGTTAACATATGCAGTAACTGCATGTAATTTTATTTCCTAAATATTTTGTCCTTATTTAGTTCCTATTTATCCATACTATTGTGCCATGTAATAAGTTCTTATTTTTATTAAACAATTTTGTTAATATTAACATTTTTTAATGCGTAGTCCACTTGATGAATGTGTAGTTATAATGTAACTAGAATTTAAGTTTAGTTATCTAGGGTTAATTACTTATACATAATGTAAATTATGTTATTAGGGATATTTTGAAGAAGCAGAAAAAGACAAAGAAAGATATATGAAAGAATTAGAACAGTATCAGCAGACTGAAGCTTATAAAATTTTCACTAAGAAACAACAAGAAAAGAAAAGGAAAGGTATTTTTATTGCATTAAATTAAATATTAACTATTTCATATGTATTTAAAATAATTTAAATTTTGTATGATGGAGTTATCTGAAGATTGCATTAACTATTTTAACAAAAATAACATTAAAAAGTTAAACAATCCAAAAAGCAAGACAATGATAAATCACATCTTTCAAATATAAATTGTGCAAAGTGTCACCAATTTGTTTTGGTGACATTTTGCATAATGGACACACTAACAAAGCCCAGATAAATAATTGAAAAGGTCTGGACTTTTGTTTATTTATTTACTGTAGTTTTGTATTTACTGTTATCAGGACAGTCAACTCATCTTTATACATATTATATAGATTCACTATCTGTTATTTGTATGGAAGCCATAGATTCTTACCATTATTATTATTTTATTAATTGAAATTACAAATAAGTATTTGGTCTCCTATCTTATATTCTTGTATGCTCTTTGAAATGTAGTATATTTCATTCAATAAAATAAAGCTCTAAAGTATCTCACATTCATAAATCTTTGTCATAATTCTAATCTTCAAATATTCAATTTATAAATTTCTTGTGTTGTGTAATTATGATGTTTTCAGTTATAATGATTACATAAACTAAACTCTTTAATCCTTGTCTTATTATTTTTGAACAATTTTTATTCATAAATAAATTTTTTTGAATTTTTTTTCAATTTATAAACTTTATAAGTGATTACACTTTATCATGAAATCAATCATTTATAATTTTATTGTATGAGTCTATTGTACGTACAGAGTTCCTACTCAAATTTTTGTTTTAAATTCCCTGACTTTCTATGACCCTCATGTTCCTTACAGTATGGCACATTAATGAAATAAAACATTACTCAACTTACTATGCACATACATTAGTGCTTCTCCAACTTTTTAACTGGTTATTTTTTCTAATTAACAGTTATATATTTTTTATGATCGATGAATTAGTAAAATCAAAAATAAAATAAGAAAGACAGAATTATGGCATGTCTTCTCTACACAAAACTAAAATGTTTTATTAAATAATAATTTTTCCTGTTAGTAACTCATAACTAAAACTTCATAGCTTTGAAAAAAAGAAAAAAGCCTTTAATTTTATTAAAAGAATTTAGTATAATCCATGTACAAAAGTATAAATTTATTAAATTTGTCCTTTAATAAATTTTCCCAGTTTATTAATATTTTATAAAGTTTGGAAAGAGTTTCAGAAATCAGAAATTGTTTTGTTATGTGATCAAAATTATTAAAATGATAAATAATACCATTTGAATTAATAAGTTATTTATCATTTTTGGTTCTTTGTTATCATTTTTTTCCATCAGTTAACATATTCCCTCAAATTGAAAGTGTAAAGTGCAAGAGAGAGAAAATTTTTGAAATATTTTAACTTTCTATCAACATTAGATTATTAGATTTTTCTCTCAAACTTATAATACTGCATAATTAATACAACAGTTTTAAAATCTAAAAGTATTTAAAAATTTAAAAATAACAATTGATATTGTTGTATGCTTGTATATTTTGTGTGCTATAATTTTGGGGAAAATTTTGGATCCTGAAAATATTCTGCACTCCTTTTTCATAGTTGCATTGTACCACAATACTTCTGGCTGCCTGCAGACAGCTATACTTGGTCATTCATGCTGTCAGCAAAATCAACAAGGCAACCAAGGAAACAAATTCCCTGACTTTCCATGACTTTTTCAGAACACTAATGTAAATCCCTGATTTTTCCTGACTTTCCATGTGCATAGGAACCCTGTACATAGTGAAATGTGGATAAATTTTACTGCAAGAGATTTTGAAATAGCAATTGTCTAAGAACAATTTCAAATGATACATCAGTTCTCTTACTTAGTTAAATAGCAAAATAGAAATGAGAAATACATACTTTGCAGAAACTTACATTTAACTTTCTTTTTATATCAAATATTTATTGGAGAAAATAAAAAATAATTTAGATTACATTAATGTAATATATTCACTTCTAATTTTGTTAGATTTAGAAGATAATGATGGGAATGTGTTACTAAATTCATCTAATACTGAGGTAAATGAATAATAATCTCATTGGATAACAAAATAAATTTATAAACATTAGTATAAAATTTAATTAACCTTAATTTATTTTTATCATAAAATGAGATATGTTTTGATAAAACTAGTGCAATGGAGAAGATTCTTTTAGAGATGATGTTCCTGGTTTTGACATTCCAATTTTCACTGAAGAATTTTTGGATCATAACAAAGGTATGTATGTATTTTTTAATTTAGGTTGTAAGTGATTAAACAAAATTTGGAAATACAGTGGTACCTCGGTATATGTCTGCTTTAGAATACGTCCAATTCAGAATATGTCCTGTTTGGACGAAACAAATTTTGCTCGGTATACAACTTAATTCAATTATACACGCCATTTACGAACAAGTAGCACTTTCTTTGTACTAGACCAGACTAGACATTCGTGGTGCCACAGTTTATAACTTTGTTAAATTTCTTCTGATTTTAATTTGTAAGTAAAATTTTATTATTTTTATTAATCATGAATTGCAAAAAGGCAAGTGAAAAGCAACAGAAAACTAAAAAAAAAATGACTAGAATCACAATGGAATTGAAAAAAGAGATTGTTGAGGAATATGAAGGTGGTACACGTGTTCGAGATTTAACTGTTGCATACCGTATTCCGAGAATGACGATATCGACAATCGAGAAAAATAAAGACATTATTAAATCTGCTAACATTGCAAAAGGAGTTAAATCAATTTCTAAACAGAGATCAAAGACATTAGATCATGTTGAGAAATTGCTTTTGCTTTGGATAACTGAAAAACAGTGTGCTGGCGACATCGTATCAGAAGCAATTATTTGCGAGAAAGCTAAAAAGATACATGCTGATCTCATGAAAAATCAAGCAGGAACTAGCCAGGAAAGCGAGTTGTTTAAAACCAGCCATTTTTTTTCATGAGAACGGATTAATCATTTTTACATTACTTCTTATGGGAAAGGTTGGTTTGGTATACGTCCTATTTGGTATAAGTCCAAACATTAGGAACGGATTAAGGTCGTATACCGAGGTTCTGCTGTATTTAAAAGTTTGATGATATTTATAAAGGATCCAATGTGATTGTAAAGTCACTCTGCAGTGGGCCATGCCCACTGTGGCTTGGCTATGTGTTGAGATCATTTAACAGATACTAATGCCATAAATGTTGTACCTCTGAGTAAAACTGTTTAATATCTCATCATGCTCACCATCAATCAGAGTTTTTCACTCGGAGACTGTATTTAGGGCCAGTGACATGTATACTGAAGATATTAAAGAAATGTTTGCCAGAAGGTTTCCTAGGGTCTAGAAGAATTCTCCATTGAAGTAGTGCAAGGTCTCATCTCTAAGTTTTAATGAACTTGGAAGATGAAGCAAGAACAGTTGTCCCAATGTTTTAATGGATAACAAGCTGTCCGAAATCATTGAAAAGATGTGACAAGCCCTTGAAAAGCATTGCAGAAGTTAGCACAAGAGACAAACATCAGTTACAGAAGTGCACAAAAAGCTTTATGGCGATAGCTAAAGTTCTATCCTTAGAAAGTGAGTGTATGCAGGAATTAAAGCCTGCAGATTATGAGAAGAAGAAGGAGTATTGTAAGTGGTTCTAAGATTTTCTAGGATATGAAGGAATCAAGATGCTCACAGAACTTTCTTTATGGATGAGGCTTAGTTTCACTTATCTGGCACAATCTGTTTTCAGAATAATTGTGTATAGAGCACTATACGTTCACATGAAGTGCATGAAACACTATTACATAATCTGAAAATTGGTGTGTGGGGATAGCAATATTGAGACAGAATTATTGCATCCATTTTCTTCTATGAAATGATTAACACGAATACTGCTCAGAGATTCTTCAGCCATTTATTAATAACTTGATGAAAGTGATGTACAGAATGGTCACTTTAAACAAGATGGTACAACTGCATATACCACTAGGAGTTCAGTGACGATATTAAACAACAGTTTTAGGGTGAGGACTTTTGATCACCAGATCTATCACCACCAGACTGCTGCTGCTGGAGAGCAACAAAAAGAACTTTGTACAAGAACAAATCCACGCCATGCATGTGTTGAAACAAGTCATGTGTCGTCACCACTTCCATTACTAAGGATACTTTAATTACAGCTTCAAACAACTTGTGCAGAAGAGTTAGATTGTATCTTGAAAATGGAAGACATCATTTTCAGCATCTTGTGTAATAAAGTCAAAGATGAATTTCCTGTGTATCTGAGGTATCTGCATAAGAGCAAATATCCCAAAACTGGATGCACATCAGTTTATTAAAATCCATGACTCATGGATTTTAATAAACTGTTAACAACTGTAATTAAAATATGTGGTGACTTTCAACACAATCTGCCTGCGACATCATTACTTTGTTCCTGGAAACTCCTCCCATTTCCCATCCATTGTGGAGTGACATTATGATTGCACTGTAATTTCTGTTGAAAGTAAATCAGTATTTTGCACAAAAATTGATATCTAACATTCACAATATAATAACTATTATTAGATAATTATTATAACACAAATATTCTGTACAAAAATGGATATCTAATACAAATTGATGGTAATTGACTTTCTTGTTTGATTTGATTAAAGGTCATAACAGTTAAAATGATTAAAAAGCAATTTCAATTAAATTTTAATGCATATTTTAAACTTTTTATACAGTATAAGCAGAAGAACATGGAAATTACTTGTCATTAATTTAATATCCAATTTAGTTTAAAATAATTTTATTGTCTCCATAATATATAATTTAAAATTTGATTCCAAATTCATGGTGCATCTTGGAATCAAGGAAATATAATATATTCAGTAAGACCCCCGCTTAATGCTGATTTGATATAATGCCATCTACTCAAAGCCTTAAAAAAGCTCAAAATTTATGCTGATTTAAATTATTGTGGCATTTTATTGATTCATACATAATATGATTATTTACAAACATGAACCAATCAGAAAAAGGTGGCAAAAAGTTGTACTTTCTTTAAATCCATGTTTGTTTTGTTCAATTTTGGAAAAAATATATCATGGATGCCATAGGAAATATCAGCTTTGTTCATGCATTTATCAATTAATTCTTTCCAAGCAAAGTGTGGAAGTTATGGCTGAAGGTATCCAAGAATTCTCAACAAGAAGAGCCTATCATTGTATCATTAGGTTGATCAAACTCAAGCTAATTGATACAGCAGGACTATGAGATGTAGACGAACAGGATATTGAGGAATTACAACAGTTTCTGGTGAGAGCCTTACTAATTATGACCTTCAAGAACTGGCAGAACATGGAATTCATGTATAACTGGAAAATAGAGATTCTGAAAACGAAGAACCCAAAAAATTTCTGTACAGATTTCCTTAGTAAAAGTTTGGTAACAATAACCAAAATCATTGATCAAATTGTAATGAATGATCTAGATTTTAAAAGGAGTGCAAAAGCAAAACGAGGCATTTTGGATGCAATCTTCTGCTACTGACCTTTGCTTAAGAAAAGAAAAAAGCAACAAATGAAACTTTAAGATTTTATTGCAAAAGAACAAGAATTTCAGAAGTCAGGATTCAGTCAGAAATTTTTAATTTTCAGTCATGTGTTCCCCTATCCTTATTTACTCTGTTAAAATTTAGCAAAGAAATTCTTTGCTAAATTCAGATTAACAAACACAGTTTATTCAGACAAAAATATTATAAATCTTAAAATAATTGGATTTATTTGGTATTATATTTTAACTTTTTGTTATTTTAAAAATTGTATTTCATTGCATAAATCATGATCATACTGTATTTAAGTTGGGATAATACACTTTAATGTCAATTTATTTAGAAAAAATCTAAGAAGAAAAAAACAAAGACAACGTTAATTTGCTAGTAATATTTTTTAAAAGATTTCATTTATATATATATATATAAATCTGATTTGTCAAATATTGAATTAAACTATTATTTATTTATATTATTCCTTCAGCTAGAGAGACTGAATTACGTCAGTTACGCAAATCGAACACAGAATACGAAGAACAAAATGCAATACTGGGAAAACACATTGATAATATGAAGGGAGCCATAGAAAAATTAGAAGTGGAGACTATACAACAGAGAAATAATAATGCAGCCCTCCAGCAACATTTGGAGAATTTGAGAGCAACTCTAACTGCAAGTTTTGCAGCCATTCCTCTACCAGGTATAAAATTTCCAAAATTAAATTCAATGCAACCCTTTCTTCTGTTTAAGAATTTTATATTTACTATATAAATCCCAAAAGTATTTATATAGTTTTGTTATAAATGGGAACTTGTGTTAGTATATTTATTTTGACAGTATTTAATTTATCAGATAATTCCTAATGTTTACCCATTAACATTTTATTTTGTTTTAACCAACTAGGTAGTAACGAAACTCCGTCCATAGAGTCGATAGACTCCTATATGGCCAAATTGCACAATCTGATTCTGGACAATCCACAAGAAAATGAAGTTCTTATATCTACAGTTCGTGATATTGTCAGCAGACTAGACTACCAAGGATGATGAGAATTCATGGCCATTCATAACTTATTTATCTTTGGTTCTGCCATAATTTGTAGATGTTAATCAAAGCCTCATGTCATGTCACGTCATGTCATAATGTCTGTATGTCAAACACTAATTAAAAATTTGTAGGTTTAATCCATCTTTTCTCTAAATATATAGCTTTTCTTCACAATATATTAATGTACAGGTCCATCTTTTAAGTCTTTGTAGTATTAACGAAAAAAAAATTGATTCAGCATATTAAGTTTTCAAATGATGCAAACAAAGGCTCTCCAAATGTGTAACTCCCTTCAAGGTTAGTCTTGACATTTTTATTTTTTTATCAACTCCCTCCTTGTTTTACTAATACCACTAAGTCTGGTGATCCAGTATTAAACAACCATTTTCATAGAAAAGATCTACATTAGGAGAATGTAATTTGCATACAAACATAATTTTTAATGAATGTTTCAATGGGTTATTAGTACAATCTACCACTTTGATCCTAATACAAAGCACAGTTTATCATTAATTAATTTAAGGACCACTGATATACACAACAATTTGATATGAGAGTATCAAGAGAAACACCATTGGTTGCATTGTGTTTGGAGTTTTTAAATTATTCTTATTGCTTTATCATTTAATGTTGAGACCAATATACTTGATACTTTTAACATAAATTCATTTTCAATTTTTATGCTTTATAAGTATGAATTTGATAGATTTTTCTATTTGGATCCATAGAAATTAAATATAGTGAAATTTTAACAAATTCAATGATTTTAGTGTACAGAAAATATACACAATGTAAACAGTAAACTACCTTCAGATTTTATTTATATCTAACTTATATGACTGGAAAAAATTCTACTTAATTAATTAATATAGAACTTGTATGGTGATCAGTCAAATTTTGACTGTTTTTTTGCATTCCTTGATGTTTTGACTCATGCCAAAAAATGTAAAAGTCCATTTAAGAAATTCTATGCACATGCATGTGTGGGTGCCTATTTTGCATATCATGTCAGGATTGGTCAAACCAAAACTTGATAAATTATTCCTATGTAGAGTATTGACACTATTAAATTTTGGTGGTAAAAGGTCAAGAGTGTGGAGATAAGACACTTATCTTCTCTGAGGGGGGTCAGATTTAATGAAAATTTTACTCATTGGAATTTACAATTTCTTAAAAATTCCTCTCTACTCTCAAAATTTTATATATTTAAAAAAAATCCTTAATTTTTAAATAAAATGCATAATTTTTATAACAGATTGAAGCTAAATTTCTTTAGAGTGCTAACTCTGATTCAATGTTGGATCAGTGCACTCAAGATAAATTGACTAAAACCCATTTCTTATTTTCAATGTTAACATAAGACAAAGTTGCATGGGTCGATGGACAAATATTGTTCATTAGTTTCTTTTATATTTGTAGAATAGGCTAGAAGTCATGAATTTTTTGATGTTTGTGCCCCTGAGACAAAAAGAGAGCAAGTCCCCAATGTAGAGCACCCTTAGATGTGAAGCATTTTCCTGCTGGAAGCCACCTCTATTGAGATAAACCATCAATATAACTGGGTGAATGTGATCAGCAATAATATTTAATACCTTCTAGTAGTAGACATTGCTCCATACAAATCAAACCAAACACCCATATAAACATGGTACAGATTATAACACTGCCTCCACCAGCTTGAAGAGTCACAAAAGTATGGATGCAAGGACCCATGCTCTCACAATGTCTCCATATCCCTTCTGCATAGTGTAATTGAAAACATGATTTGTCAGACCACATTACCTTTTTCCACTTATTTGCCAATGATTCTGTTCCCAATTGGAGGTGTTTGCTGCAGATAGCAATGCTTACAGACAGCATTTCTTCTATAGTCATATAAGGTAATATTTAGCAAGTGTACATTGAGAGCCATTGGATTTAGTCCAATTCAGAATATTGTTATTTGATTAGTGTTGTCTTTGTTGGACTGAACTTTGCCAACCAGCAGCTGTTAATAAACAATCATCATGCACTCAAACCCAGATTTTGCCTGAAGGCCCACTGTAGTACAATCATTTTTGCTAAAGTTTTAAGCATCTATAATCATTCCATGTTCGAAGTCTGTCAGATTGCATCTTTTACCATTTTTCCTATTATTTCTTGAGCACTACACTTTGTTAGTCTCTGCATGTCTTAAGCATTTATTTTTCTACTGATCATCTAGTGTCAGCATTATCTGCAGGTAACTACTTTGCATAAAATGGTCTAGTATAATGATAATTTGGCCATTCAGTTTATAAAATAATAATAATCTGAATTATGCAGATAGCAATATTTCACTTTGTACCGATACATAAGAAACATGAATGTTTCAAACATCTTTGGATGTCAGTCAATTGTTGTATCAGTATATATGACAGAAAATGTTTGGTATAGGAGGTAATTTGAGAGCTCAGATAGGGTGCACCAGACTCCCTTGTCACTCATATTGAATGATAATGTAAGGCCATATGTACACATTTTTGCTATTAACAAGTACAGAGCTTTGTTTTTATTGCATTCACCAGAGCTGCTGAATGTATGTTGCAGTTCAGCAACTCAATGAATGGCTCTTCAATATAACCATATGCATAAGTGTCTTCCTCCCAGGACAGCTGACTTTTAGGTCCATTTGAGATCGTTGGTTTTTGCAGTCCATTTTCCTTTGCAATCTCACATGCAGTCCACTTTTCATTGTCAGTGTAAACTGTTAATTTGTTTTATTGTTATAATTAGAGGCATGTAAAACTCAAATTCTTGATTTTTCCTGTTTTTTTCAAAATGGCAGCATATAATGCACAAAGCATCCATAATTTACCATGGATATAGAATAGTCATTATCTCATAAATGTGATTGAAAACATTATTTTCCATGAGAGTTCTTTGAGAGACCCTGAAGGACCTATCAATAAAAATAATTTTTCATAAGTTCTTGTGAAAAACAAATTTTATACAACAAATATTCTCAACTGGTTAAGCCAAAAATTATAGAGTAATTATTTATCTTTTAAAATTTACTTAGAACTGGAAAATAAATTCTAAATTCTTTGACATTTTTGTATTGAAAAGCAGCTTTTGACAAACATACAACAAGATGAAATTATAAATTTTAAAATAAGCATTAATCATAGTTTTTTAGTAAATGTTTTGATATAAAATGTGTAAAAACTCAATATTTTTCTTCTTTTGCACATTTTAACAGATCAAGTAAGTTTCATTAAACAATAATAATAATAATAAATAGAATATTTGTGGATGATATAAAATTTTTACTAAGGATTTATCAACTGTATTATCACTTATCTATCAGAAACAGAAATCCAGATTTAAAAATTTAATGACTGCTATCATTAAAATAACAAGAATTACACTTTCATTCTTGAACTAAAATGAAACAATCCTATTGTATCTTGCTAGTGTGTGGAAAAACCTGAGCTCAAATTATTAGAACAGATTTAGAATAAATGCTCTTTTGGATACTTATTGATAAAAACATGGAATAATAAATTTCTGGCTTCATTTTTATCATTACTAACTTGCTAATATTGTAACTGGAAAGTTATAGTTTAGTTGTTATAGAAATTAAAACATGGTTTTAAAAGTAATTTTGAGGATAATGTAGTGTAGACAAAAATACTAGACTAGACTGAATAAAGGATGTTGAACTGTCCAGTATTTTTCTGTAATCATTCTGAAAATAATAATTTTCAGAACTTTCATTTGAAATTAATACCAAACCAAATATTGAAATTAATACCAAACCAAATTAAAACCAAACACTATTTTCGTTACTTTTTATAACAGATCAAAATCATTTATGGAAGTGTTTGTCTTTGTATTAGAATAATTCAAAATATCAAACTGCTATTTTTAGATCCAACCTTCAGGTGAAATGAACTTTATAAATTTCAAACTAAACTCTAGCTTCATTCCAAGAGAGAAAGTAGTTATGTTTTCCATATTCTTATTAAAATATATCAAATTCACAACACAATGTGCAGGAAACTAATATCTTTGAAATCAATTTATCTTCATTTGTCATACATGTTCACAAACTTCAATAAATTATACTTTGAAATATTTCATAAAAAATGACCATTGCTATCAAAGCTGGTTGATTTTGATAGAATTTCTATAAAAACAATTTGCCATTGTTTTAGTCCTTAGGAACACACTGATTTATTGACAATGAAATGTTTACATAAATGGTAACTTGTAATGATTTATCTGACATTAAATTGTATATCATGATTTATTCTTTGTACAAGTTCAAAAGATTATTCAACTAAAAGTGTAATTTAACAACTATACTGAGCTGCTAATAGTTATTGAAGAATAATTAAAACATAATAAAGCAAGACTTGATATTTCAATTAACTGTAATTTTGTACAATCTAATGATTTAATGTTCAAAAATGTCATGACACATTGCAGATTTTTAGTATATGTAATCTGAAGCCAACTGATAAAACCAAAATGATCTGACACTAACAAATCTTGGCACAAACTATTTTGTGTGGTGAAATATTTTTGTGGTCTTTCCATTGTTTACAGAATGTGACATGTTTCCAATAGCACTATGAGATCTATTGAAATAGATATCTCACGATGAAGTACAACAGACATCCTTCTAGTTTTAGAATGCCCTCCAAAGACAAAGAGTGCTTCGAATTGATGACAAAACATTTCAAGAATCTGCCTGGGCCATGTAGGCATCCAGGTCTGCATCGAGATGACTTTTGGTTTTGGCCATATATTCGTCCAGCTCATTGTCCAATTCCTGCTTTGAGGGAATATTTTTCTTGTTGATGTTGGCCTGTCCCCAGTTGCGTCCGCGACCTCGGTTCTGTCTACCTCCTCTCCCCTTTCTTCTTCCTCCGGCACCTCCAACGTTTCTGTTGTTTCTAAAATAAAATTATTCTATGAGTAAAATTTTTCACTTAAACAAATATGATTATTGATATTTTAGTAATTTTCTTAAATTTTTAGCAGCAAATAAAAATACTAATACTCATATATATGTGATAAACCAAAATTATATTCTAGAATGTTCTTTCTTGCAACAGAAAATGTTTACTCCAATAGTTTAAGATTTATCTAACATTAATTTGCTTAAAATTACTCCCTGAACAATTTCAATGATATGAAATTTTGAAATATTTTTTCTCAAATTTTTTTTCTAATAAGCAATTATTTAAACATTCTTAAATTTTACTTGCTACATCACCAACTTGAAATAAGAAAAGCATGATAAATTAACTCTTCAGTATATTCCTTTTACAATTGACTCTGCTTTTGCAAATGATATAAATTTTCTATTATGAACTTTAAAAAAATGTGGTACAGTACAGTACAAGTTATTATTGGATTACTGACTACTTTTCAGATTGCTGAATTAATAATCTGATGTGCTAAAGACCCCAAAATAGTTATTGAGGCAAAGTTAGGGGTGTGACAGTTGTACTCTGGAGACTTTTGCCTCTATTTGTCAGGACATTGTCAACACCTGCCTCCAAAAGACAATCTGGTATTAATAGATGAAGCAGTCCATCATCTTAAGAATATTTAGACCTGAAAAACTCCAATGTAGGTAAATGGACTATGTATTTGGTGAACTACAGTCAAACTTGTTATAACAGACTTGGATAAAACAGGCATACTACTATTACAGATCAATTTTCTGGACCTGGCCACATGCCTGGTTTTTTTTTTTTAAATATGTGAAATGACTCTAATATTGCAGATTAAGTTACAGTAGATTTTCAATTATAACACACTATTTTTTCAGCAATGAAAAATAAACTCAAATGTAATGAATTTTAGTATATTTGAAAAAGAGGACAACAGAAAGCAAGATGGCTGAGAAAAGGAACTATGCAGCTATCAGGATGAATACGCAATTTTATATCATTGAAAAAATTGTGTGTGGAAAGCAATAGAGATTTGTGAGAAATTCCATTTATCTAAACAAACTGTGAACACAATTTGGCATAACTGAGAAGAAGTTGTAAAAGCTTATAAAGAAGCAAGAACAGATCAGAAGTGAACTATGTGTAAGCACCTATCAGGATACTGGAAGATCTCTTGAAATAGTTCAAGTTTACAAGATCACACAGTGTTTGCATTTAATAAATGCACACTTTCCTTAGAGAGAAGAATATGCACATAAGCTTTATCACAATTGATTTAAACATGGCTTGACCATTTTAAGGGATATTACAAGATCGTCTTCAAAGATATGCATGGGTAGAGAGAATTGATATGCAAACAATTTGATTTCAATTACCATGAATATGTTTCTTGAAATCATATAAAGCAAAATTTTTTTAATGTTGATGAAATTGGATTATTTTACCATTTACTCAGACAAAATAATGTCACAAAGGTAAAAAAAGCAAGGAAGATTAATGGTAATGATTGGTGCAAATAGAGATAAAAGTGAAAAGCCTCCATTGCTTGGATTGCTAGTGATAGGAAAATATGAACATCTTTGTTGCTTCAGAAAACAAAACTTACATCTTTGGAATATGCATTTGATATGAAAGTGCAGATGACAACTGAGATCTTCACAAAATAAATGAAAAGGTTGGACAGAAAATCCAAGAGCTAAGTGCTTTTTCAGTGTGGATAACTGATCTGCTCATTCAAAAATTAAGGATCTGAATGAAATAATGCTAATTTTTTTATACCACCAAATCTGACATCTTGTTTACAACTGTGTGATACAGAATTATAAAAAGTCTAAAAATCAATTATAGATGTCATGTAGACAGTATTAAAAAATGTGCAAATTCTGATACAATTCTATCTATTCTGGATGCTATGTAAATGCTTCAAAGCATAGAGAAATGTAACACAAAGAAACAATTACAGTTTCAAGCAAGCAGGATTGCTGAACTAAGGCAATAAAGCACTCAGGCCAACTGCCAATAGATTTAGGGAGGACTTTCTATAGGAAACATAGGAAACTGGCGTCTATTTAGACATTAGACATGAGGAAAACCAGGGACCGTATTCTGGTCTCTCGTAAGCCGGTCGCTGATTGGCTAATCCAAATGATTAGCCAATCAGCGACCGGCTTGTGAGAGACGAGAACCGGTGACCAGAATATGGCCCCTGGAAAACTACATGGTGGCCAGCCCATTGGTGAGATAGGAATCAATGTTCAGTAGTTTCATCCACTTATCCACAATAGCAACACCAAATTTGAGGATGATATTACATAGGTAAAAAGAAGCTGCCCCTCAGTTTTTGCATCAAAGGACATCAGCTTCAATGACTATGTTACAATTGATAATGTTATAAGAACTCCCAAAATCAAGAGAACATAACATTTTTAAAATAATACAATCTGCAGATTATTTTGTATTTATTGGGCTATATTATGGCTATATTTAATAATTAGATATTGGGTAATTTTGCCCAAAAGTAGACAATTGTCGCCATCTTGAAATAAATTTAATAATTTAAAATATTAGAATGTTCTGGAAGAAAAGAACTAGCCTGGAGTGGGAATCAAACTTGCAACTCCCCACTTACTATGCTGATGCATTACCAGTTACACTACTAAGATCTTGGTCTGGGTTGCATTAATTTAAAATAATATCTAATATGCAATGTATCCTGCATCTTATCAGTAGATTCCTATGTCAGCAATTCTGAAGAGAGAAATTTTCCTACATTTTCAGATACTAAAAGTGCACTAGACAATACTCTTTATTGTTATTTATTAACAATTTCTGATAGCAGCAAAGAACAAAGTATTGAAACTGGAATCTTTAATTGTAAAGAAGCACATTTTTATTGGAATTCTGAATACTGTTTATACTGTATGGTTTATTATGTAATAAGTAAATTTTTCTTCAAAATTTATATTCTTTTTTCCTTTCTTTTAGCTGAAACATTAACACTCCTTGAATAATTTTTTGGCATTTTATTAACCTATCCCATATTGAAATTTTTCTCCGTTGCATATGGCTGCCACATTGAATTTTTGTTGATGCTAAGCCTAACAAAAAAATNCGTTGCGTGTCGCTTCACGTTGAATTTTCGTCAATGTTAAGCCTAACGTAAACTTTTTAAAATAATAATTGTAGCTACTGTATCATTAAAACTTATTTCTTTATTTTTTACAAACAAAATAAATATCTTGAAAAATATAAAAACCAAAAATTTATACTCTCCGTTGCGTGTCGCTTCACGTTGAATTTTCGTCAATGTTAAGCCTAACGTAAACTTTTTAAAATAATAATTGTGGTTACTGTATCATTAAAACTTATTATTTTTTAATTTTGCACACAAACAAAATAAATATATTGAAGAATATAAAAACAAAAAAAAATTATATTTCTAAAGTTCATTTCAATATAAAAATTATGATACAGAGTGACATCTAGTATCAAAAATTACTGAAACTGTAACGAGATGTCAGGTTTAACCCCGACGTGTGTCAGGAATAACACAGGTGAGATTAAGTATTTTGTATATAATGGAATATCTGACTTTTATTTGTCTCTAGGAGTCTGTTATAATAAACTTTGACTGTATATATAGTCATTGTATTGTACCAAATGAATAGTAATTCATTAGTGCTAACACATGTATTTTGAGTTCAGTGACTTGCATGACTGATGTATCAATATTTTCTTTCCCACAAACCAATGCACCTAAAAACAGGTTTCTCATACTCAGAACATATGTAGCTTTTATGAATCTTATGTATACACTATACCTTGTCAATTTTCTTTTATTTTCTAATGTTAATTTTGTGCTAGAAGTTCATTAACAGTTTTGTAGGTTTTTCAATCAATCTTAACACAGTATAATCATGTACTGTATCATCTTTAGACTGATTATGAGCCATAAACAAATCTATAACATATAGCAACATTAAGTGGTATAAATATACAGCAATATATGCACATTCAGATCACAAAACTTATTTTTATATTTTCACAAAATTTAATATCTGGTAATCCAGTATTTTCAATGATCCAACACCATTCTGATCCTGTAAGTGCTGGATTAACAAACTTGTACTGTATATAATTAGATTCTATTTATCTTTACACTTAGTTTAGCATACATTTTATATGACAAATTCAAACTAATAATGAAAAAGATTTATATTACTCTTATGAAGGCATTAATCTCATTTGTCCTTTATATTTAAATTTCCAAACTACTATTTTACATAAAATTACAATACACTTTCACTAATCTAAACTAATTATTGTCTGGAATTATTTGGACTAATGGGATTATAGTATATAAAGGAAATCAAAACAATCAAAAAAGAACTACAAATAAATACAGTAATACCTCCATTTTTTAAAATTCATTTTAATGCAGTTGAAAATTTTTTAAATTTTAAATAAATGATAGTTACATCAAAATCTGTGTTCTTTATAATCAGTAACATCTTATATAGATGAATATTTATGAAATTTTAGTTGAAGCTTTACTACCCCAGAAAAAGTAAAATGCTGTATTTAAGACAAGAGTTCAGTCCATATTTTCAAATAGTTTTCCATGACTATGTGCTTTTTCATGAAACAAATTACTTGCATAAATGGAGATTACAGTACACACAAACCCTATTTATCCAGATCCTATTCATGCGCATTTCCAGTATGTCCAGATTAGTTTGAATGGTCATTTCTTTTTAAAGTTTTACAGATTTTGTGGGGAAATTTTTTTTTGCAATGTTTATGACACTACTAAACATAACCTTAATATGTACTGTACCTATGTAGCTATCTCACATTTTCAAGGATAAAAATACATACTGTTTGTATGCACTGAGTAATTTTTGTTTCTATAGTTTTCAAGTCAGTAAAGATAAAAGCTTATTTTCAATCATTAAAAAGTATTTTCAGTATGGAATTTTAGACTTTTATTTCAATACCCCACTATTCTGGTTTATTTGGATTTTTCTTCATCTAGATTGGGTCCTAGCTGATTCGGATAAATGTGGTTTGACCATATTTAAAAAATTTTTATTTTAATTTGGTTCATATATTTATATTAAAATGTGTAATACATATTAATTTTACACAATTGTCATATTTTTAAATGGTTTGCTCATCCTCTGAAGAGGTTAAGAAATACAATGCATTAACAATGGCAGTGATGAAAGGTGACTGATAATCCTAGATACCTTTATATTCATCATACCTTAAAAAATTTTATGAGGATTGCCAAAGATGTATTGATTATTTTAATTCTGAAGTTAACTGGTCCCACATTTGACCCCAAAACTTTTTAGGGTTTAATTTCAAATTTTCAAAACATATTACTTCAAGTTTACAATTGATTCCTGATGATACAATATGTAAACAATTTAACAACAGTTATTTCAATACTTCAAATAAATCTTCCTTTAGGTCTGCCTCTTTTATCAATGAATTCCAAGCCATCTGATATTTCTTTTTCTGAAGTCTGCCTCGCAATTTCAAAATTACAAACCTCTCGTTTTATTCTGATTTAATTCCTGCTATGTTTTATATTATTATTATTATTATGATTGCACAATTATTGTTCTTTGTTGAATTTTTACTAGTTATTCAAACAGTGTTCATTCCTAACGAATGGCAATAATCCATTATCATTGGTATCCCTAAAAAGACTGTTGTTTTTATTGCTCTATTTTGCTATCATCTTTGATGTTTAAAATTTTTGAAAATTCTCTTCTTCATGATTATATCTGTTATCCTATAGCCACTAGAATAAAACCTTTGCAACATTGTGGTATGCATCATAAATCTACCACAACCAATTTAATTTCTACCTTCTCCAAAATAATTAATAACTTTGAAAATAAAAAATGTACTTATGTTATATATACAGACATCAGCTAAGCTTATGATTCTGTTGTTCATTCATTACTACTGGAAATACTTTACTTTTTTTACACACATTCTACTGTCTGGTATAACAATTAATTTTTATTTCATACTTTTAAACTTAAACTTGATGATTTTGTTTTTAATGATTTTTCTCCATTGCATGGGATAATTCAAAGATCTATTCTGAGTACTTGAATTTTATTATTCCTACTGTCTGTTCTAATACAGTTGATATGCTAGTGATCTTAAGATTATATAATTTCAGTTCATCAACAAGTTTATTTAAATCAGACTGTAAAACAAAAGGGTTATAGTTCATAATATTAAGGTTAATATTAATAAAGCAGTAGCAATATGTTATTTCCTTTATGCAATCTTACTCAACCCTCCTTTTTTATAGTCAGTCATCATATTAACATTGTCCATATGAATAATGATATCATGAAATCATGAAAAGATAATATTTATTATTAATCACATTAATTTTCTCTCTAAAAATTTAGCAATACACTGAGGTATTCTTTGGTGTCACTGTTGTCACCTTCTTGAGTCCTTTTCTGTATAAATTTCCAATCAATTGTAGATTATTGTATGCTGATATGCCACCTCATTGCTTCATAAAATGTTAGATGAACTGAATAAGGTTTATCTAATTTTTTTGTAAATTGGCAAACTTACCTATTACAGATTCTGGTGCTAGGACTAGAGTGAATATTTCTGATTTTAATTGTCATATTGCTTATTTTGATTTTATTTAAATATTTTAATGGTGTTTTAAATATGGAATTATTTGCTCTTAATTTAGATGACAATATAGAGTTATTAGAAATGCTTCATATTACACACTTCCTTTCTTTCACATAAATTTGTGCAGATGATCTTTTCATTTTCCAATTTGGAGGATCTTCTATTTCAAATTTTCATTAAAAAAAATGTAAAAATATTCTATAAAATAAACAGTAGCATACTGTTCAATAACTTGTTTTACTCATTATTTTTTTATATATTTTTGTCATTATTTTATTTTTTTTATTCATACTATATTGTATTAAGTGCACCAGGAAACATCTTTCTTTCCTTCCAATTTCTAGATTCATAACTTGACAAATGTTTAAATAAGATATATACATATATCTGTGAAAACATTTTCAAAAAGTAAGGCTTCTTAATTTTTATCTAAGAAACCTAATAACATAAAGCCTATTGCATGGGGTCAAAATAAGTCTTGTAAGAGCTATAGATTTCTAGACAATTATCATTAGCTTATTTAAACATATGTATATATCTGTGAAAACATTTTCACAGATATATACATATATCACTTATTATAGCAAGCATGTTAAAGTAATCTGAAATAAAATTTTTACTTATGTTTATGAAATAAGATTTTTACACCTTACCGGAATTGGGTTCCACGAAAATTAGATCCTCTCTGTTGTCTATAATTTCTTCCAAAACCACGACCTGTAAAATTCAGTCTTTTAATTCTCTTGACACATTATTAAATTTATAGAGTAATGATACTGTTGGCTGATGTAGTTAAGGCATCAGCCTACTATTCTGGGGACCCAGAACTGAATAGCAAGTATTTGAAAAACTCAGAAACTTTTCTAGTAGTAGTCTGTCCTAGATAATTTGAGCTCTGTCCTCACTATCTAGCCACACCCAAAATGGGCTTGATAGGTTCTTTTGGTGAGCAATTTGAAAATAGTAGTAATAAAAATAATGATGATATTTATAAAATTGTTGTCATAGTGACATAATGCATATTTTAGATGTATTCAAATCATCTAATTATAACTTAAACCACAAAACTTTACAATCTAGCAGTATTCTGTAAAAAAATATTTTCAACTATTTTAAAAGCCTCAGCCACGCAGCACTGTGAACGGTACACATGCTAAGCTTTCAATGTTGGACACGTAGCTAGTGATCTGTTGGAACAGATTTTTAGCAGATGTCATCAACAATGCATATGTACAAAACAAGCATTCTTGTGTTTTTATACAAGTACCATTACTATGTGGAGTTTTCTGCTTCTGTAAATATGTCAGAAGCTTTGACAGAAGAAATTTGGAAGTACAGTGGAACCTCGGTATACGACCTTAATCCGTTCCCGATGTTTGGACTTATACCGAATAGGACGTATACCAAACCAACCTTTTCCATAAGAAGTAATGTAAAAATGATTAATCCGTTCTCATGTAAAAAAATGGCTGGCTTTAAACACTTCGCTTTCCTCGCTAGTTTCTGCTTGATTTTTCATGAGATCAGCATGTATCCTTTTAACTTTCTCGCAAATAATTTCTTCCGATACGCTGTCGCCGGCACACTGTTTTTCAGTTATCCAAAGCAAAAGCAATTTCTCGACATGATCTAATGTCTTCGATCTCTGTTTAAAAATTGATTTAACCCCTTTCGCAACGTTAGCAAATTTAATAATGTCTTTATTTTTCACGATTGTCGATATCGTCGTTCTCGGAATACGGAATGCAACAGTTAAATCTCGTTAAATCTCGAACACGCGTGCCACCTTCATATTTCTCAACAATCTCTTTTTTCAGTTCCGTTGTGATTCTAGTCATTTTTTTATTTTTCTGTTGCCCTTTTGCAATTCATGATTAATAAAAATAATAAAATGTTACTTACAAATTAAAAATCAGAAAAAATTTAACAAAGTTATAAACCGTAGCACCGCGAATGTCTAGTCTAGTGTAGTACACCGATAGTGCTACTTGTTCATAGATGGCGCGTATAATTGAATTAAGTCGTATACCGAACAGAAGTCGTATACCGAACAGAAGTCGTATACCGAGCAAAATTTGTTTCGTCCAAACAGGACGTATTCCAAATTGGACATATTCTAAAGCAGACGTATACCGAGGTTCCACTGTATCAATGTTTACAGAACATGTCTATTGAGGAAACTTTCAAAGTAAACAAATTCAAACATATTATTGTTTGAATTTAACTTCATGTTTATAAAAACTGTGCTTCCAAATGATGAAAGTTACATATTCAAATCACCTTTCATTCAATTTGTGAACCTACTTTCTTTTCTCTTTGAGCAATAATAAAACTAAATATCATCAGAAAAACCACTGCTCCACAGTAGCCATAAAAAACCTGGTGTCTTAAAGACTTATTAAAAATGACCACAGCATAACTTTCTTTGTGGTCACCCAATGTAAAATACACAGCATTCACAGTGAGCATAAAGCAAAGCATTCATAGTGGTTTATATGGCTAAATCCTTTCCTGTTGGATGCCATTGAAAAACCAGTTCCTAGTGCACTCAAACTTGTTTGAGTGATTTTTGTTTTTAATGATTTATTCATAAATATTCAAAGTCACTGTTCAAAAATTTTACATCCTTTCAAAAGTGAAACTTTTGAAAGGATGTAAAATTTTCCAGTTTCTTTATTTGTTTCTCAGACTAAGCCTACAAGATAGTGAATATGGTTCTCACATTTTGGTATAAGATTCATTCATATGGTCTTATTGATTACCAAATTGTCCCTGCTCAAGTGATGTGAATCAGTCTATCACATCACAAATATTTGTGCCAATATTATGAAATTATAGACACTGAATCAAAAAATTCAATCATATATATAAATAAATGTCTTCAGATTCATGGCTATACATGGAGGTACAGAAACAGGATGTACTGTGCAGTACATGTCAAAACAAAAAATAAACATTAATATCTTAACTAGGTGTGGACATTAAAGGGAACACAAATAAGTAAGACCAACAATGAAAATAACTTTAATAAAAAGAAAACCATTTGTTCTCCAAAAGTTCCTACTGGATTGTACGTTTTATAGTTCAAATTATATTTTTTCATTGACTAGTTCATATCTATTTATTAAATTCCTTTCATACTGTTGTTATACTTTGATTTTATAATGTGGCAAAGTTATTAGTCTTATTAAACCATTTAGAGTTTAAAAATTTTTATAAAATAGAAGTTTAAATACTAATCTATTACTTTCTAAATTTCTTCATTGATTATAGAAATCTGTCACAATGTTATCAGTTATTCAGATTGATAGCTTCTATATAAGAATCTTTTGTGATTTATTAGCTGGTATAAATATTTACTATACAATTTATTATTATTATTACATTATGATTTATTTGTTTTCACATAAGTAATCAAAAATACAGTGGAACCTTGTACCTTGAACTAATTAAGTATGAATGCTAAATTAAACAAAAATGCACCTTGAAGTTTGAACTGCATGCAGTGAAAAAAATGCACTTGAATTATAAAGGCCATCTGTTCTACACCTAAGTCATCTCTCATTCTTGGTCTTGTATTACACTCCTATGTTTTCAGTGCTTTTTTTCACTTTATTTTTGGTGTTTGATTATATATATATATTATATGTTATTCATTGATTTTAACAACAACTTTTTGCAATATTTCTTCATTGACAGCTTTTGAGTGCTTTGTACACTTTTGTACACTCTTTACTTCAAAATTTCCTATACAGTCGACCCCCCTATAAGATATAGATATGTTCCATTCTTTGGAAACAGTAAAAAACCCCCTATAAGATTTTTTACTGTTTCCATTCTTTGGAAACAGTAAAAAAACAGTAAAAAACCCCCTATAAGATATAGGGGGTTTTTTACTGTTTTTTACGGATACCGGTCACAATTTTTTTCGTAGTTTTATAGGAATCGTAATTATAGGGACCGTAATTATAGGGGGGTCGACTGTACAGAATTTTTTAAACCACAATTGACATGTTTGAAAATTTGGAGTATCTTCCCTATACACATTACAAATATTATTTTTACTGTTTTTATGACATTATATCCTTTCTGAAACACACGAAGCAGAATGCCTAATATGCTTTTTATTCGAAGACATTTCAACTGGATTTTATGCAAACAAAATATGAAAAAAAAATTTTAAATAAGCTTTCAATAAAAGAATACAATCTCACTCATATTAGCAATAATGTGTTAAATTTCACAACTTATAATTAAACTATACATCTATGTTAAGTAATTACAGCAGTTAAAAAATACACAAAAATTTTGTTTGACCCAATGTGATCTTACTTATTAATTAATTAATAACTAAGGCATCCAAGTTGTGGAAGCAACAAAATATAAGATGAAGGTTGGATTATAGATAACTGGTTAAAAAAGAAGTTATCAAAAAGAATGAAAGCAATACACACATGGCAGATCTGGCAGCCATGTTTAAGATGCCAAAGTCAATGGTATATGAACAATTAATGCAATTTTCATTTTATTATACTGTACAGTCAAATCTCAAGTTTCAAATAATTCAGTTTACAAACAAAATTTTGGACTCATTTTTTCCCGGTTGCTGTATGATAACTCAGTTGTTGAACAAGCTACTCGGCAGAACTAGCCACAGATGAACACTCCTAACTTGAGAGAGAGGTGTCAATGGTCATCACTTAAGAAACCTGGCCAGTGAAAGCAAGCAAGATGGAGTTTGATTTATATTACCTTATACTGCGTTCGCACACAATCCATGACTAACTTTAATCTCAATTTACCCATAATCTCAATTGCAATGATTCAACTCGCCAGTTGAACATCAGGCTGTTCGCACAAGCAGTCTGCTTGAGAAGAACCTGGCTATTGCACTCAATGATAAAACTTGCATAATTATTTGATAAGTCAAGAACACCAACAAACAAAATGGAAGTTTTGGTTAGAAATAAATACTTTTTATTGCCATATATCTAGTAATGGCCAGATCTCATCATCTCTCCAAATATCTTTTTTATTTCTCCATTGACAGCCGACACTTGTTCCACAGCCATCTTGTTTCTTCTCACATGCATGGGATTGTGGGAACTCTCTTATGACTGGATCTAGTTTCAAAAACTCACATGCATTGATCGCAATTAAGCATCCTCTCTTGACCATTTCAATCTTGACTGAAATGGTCAAGAGAGGTTGCACCACAGCACATTCACCGATCTTATCACAATCTAAACTGAAATGCTTAGTGCAAATGGGGTATTATACAGTTTTACATAAAGTGAGATTTTACTATATATATTTTTTAAATTGAACACTATAGAACTGCATAAGATTCAGAATAAAATATTAATTTAATATAAATGACAAAAGACAATAAAATCTGTTTTTAAGGCTTTAGTGCAATAATGAAAAATTTACATACCTCCTCTTCGAAATCCTCTGTTTCTAGTTTGTCCAATTTTATTTGCGGCATTTTGATTTCCTAATCGTGCTTTCAACATCGGAGAGGTACCAGATCTTGCATTATTGGTGCCATCACCAAATCCAGACCATCGTACGCCTTTACGAACAGCAACAACGCCACGGCCACGGTTTCTTCCCTGTCCACCTCCTCCCAATCTGCCTCTCACATTCCTGTTTCCTTGACGACCAAATGACAATCTGGACTTCACACTGCTTCCACCAGAAAATCCACCTGGACTCTGACCCAACCGCTGTTTCAAACTTTTCTGAAGATATATGAAATCTATTAGTCTAATAAAAGTAATTTTTTTAATATTGCCGTTCATCATAAATTTTTGTAAATTAAAATATAAACATACTCTCTTAATTTTAAGAGCAGCAATTACACTTGGTCTATTAGCCATCTGTTGAGCTAAACGACGATTCTTCAATGATGCTTGACGCTGCTGTTGGATCTTTTGTCTGATGGAGTTCACTGTACTCTGGCCTTGTTGACGATATGTAGTAAAGCTTCAAGGAAGAGAGGCATTCATAATTGTTTTTTCTTTTTTTAGTTCAGAAAAATATTCTGAACATCATACCACTCAAAAATAATAAGCTCCTTCAGGGTAACAAAATTTGTCCCTTTATAATCATTATATCTGGAGCTTTTATAATGGTTGGAATTAAAATCCAACAAAATCCATTCAAGAACACAACTGTTCTTAAATATTTTATTAAAAAATAAATTCATTCGATATAAGTTCAGCACAGCCATGTTTTTGATAAAAATTTGAAATAATTAGTTTAAATTCAAAATACTTCTGAGAACCTGATTTCTCACTTCATAAATCTGAAAACAATCTAAGCAGATACTGTCAATCAGTTTGCTCATAAAAAATTAACAAGAAAATTTATCATTTATAAAAGAATAAAACTTATAAAAATCTATTTCAATTTCTTTTAAGTGTAAGAATTCCATTAATAAATTTAACACTTTCATATTTTAAAGTGAAAATTCTAGAGGAATATTTGTAAATGCTGAACTAATTCTTATAAGAATTTACAGAGAACTTAAAATTAACAATAACTGATAAAAAAAAAAGTTTTTACTTTTAATGTAATTTTGACTAAGTCTAAATTTTTTAATCTAAAATAAATTAATTCTTAAAATAAAAAAAAATAAAACAAATTCACTTATCAATTAAAACATTACATCCAGTACACAATTCTGTAACATTACATGAAACTATTAACAAAATAAAAAGTTAGAATTTTAAATTTATGCATATAAACATAAAACAGTGTATTATTTGAATAGTATAGTATGTAGATGTTAAGAATAAAACTAATAGGCTTTTTTAAAATTTTTTATAAAGAACATTTTACAAATTAATAGTGGTTTATATAGAAATTTAAATGTTTAAAACATTTGAATTCTTGTGCTTTATATTAATTCTAATCAAATATATATGGAATTCCAAATACCAACAAAATTATAACTGATGACAACAACAAAAGCCTAAAAAAATAATGTACATATGCAAGATCCTATTTTTTAATAATTTAACCAAGATTACATTGATGAAGCGCACAAACACGAAACTAAATTACTGATATTTTTATTCAAGTTTTCTATATTGATGCTTTAATCTATACATATATTCTATCCAATGAAAGATTAATTTCAATTTAGTGAACAACCACTCAGTCTTACTAATAGTTAAAACAAATAACGCAATTATTGTCATGCATTTTGAACATTTTTTCTTATTTAACACGATAAAAACTAATGAAAAAACTTTTAAATAGAATATAGACAATACAAATTAATTTTCACAGATAACTGTGATGTTATTGAAATCAAAAATGATGGAAAATGCCACAGCATAATAGTTTGAAGGTTTTGTTTGTTAGAAAATGTATACATATGGAATGCTCCTAAACATTTGCTAGCTATAACAGAAGTATGGGATAAGTTGACATTAGTAAATCAATGTCAAAATTATCTGATAAAGAAAATCAGTGATATGACAGTTTTATCTGTTTTAGATTTTCCTGGATACTGCCAAAATAATGCTTTACATACTACCATAAATATGTCTTCAAATAAATCAAAAATAACCCATGTTCGATTTAGATTATAAGTAGCCAAAGACCTTTCTAAAAATTTTAGCAGCGGGAAATAAAGTGGGAGACCATGTGAAATGCTTGCACCAATAAATGAAGAAATTTAACCTCTCATAAAGCAATTAAAATAATAGAATAAGAACTAAAGTCTAGTGTTAATGTCATAACTAAAATTGAAGGAGTGCAGAATATGTCTGATCACATGAATATGTTTCAAGGAAAATTAAAGCAGTCCTGGAAACATTTGTGGTAGAATTATTACAGCAACAGCCACAAAAAATGGAATAGCATCTTGGATAAACTTAAGACATATTCTGAGGTAATTTGCCAAACTGCACGGCTCGTGTTTTAAAGTGAAAATGAAATGTTGTTGACTTGTTTTCGATCAATTCAGTCATTTGTTATATCACTGCTTAGTTACACAGTTATGCACACTTCCAATAAAAACAAATCTGTCTCAGTTACAGAGCCACAGTTTCAATTTTTATGAAAAACAAACTGAAACAGGGCTTTAAAAAGAACCAAAAAAGAGATTCTATTTTTTATTTCAGAATTCTTTTTTCTACACTATTTAATGAGCAAAATTTTGTGTTGTATTGAATTTAAATGAAATAGTCACTTCTCAGCACAGAAAATTTTCAAATTAATAAACTACATTTAAAAACTTTCTGAATTTTCTCAATAAATAAATAAATAAATAAAGAGAAATTTAAACATTGTTTTCTTTTATCATTCGTAGATTTATTATGAAATAAAAAATATTAATGTTGAAATATATTTTAAAACATCATAAAAACATGGTTACATTTTCAAAAAATAATAATTATAGTAATGAAAAATTCAGTCAAAAACTCTAAAAGTTGGTGCAGTTCTTAAAAAATTGTACGTCATTATCATCATAAATAAATTTTGCATTTTTGGATGCCAAAGACCATTAATTAGCACTCCTTGCTAAAAATAGATTATTTGTGGTTCAATTTTGATTTTACTTTTATTAATCAATGCATTACAAATTTATAATTATACATGCTATCCTGTAATGATGACATATGTTTCTTTTAATTAATATATTCAGTTTAGTGTTGTGCAGCAAATATGGTAGGCCTATTTAAATATTTGTATGATTTAATTTTTTTTAAATTTAAATTTTTCTATTTAATCTAAAATTTTCTATTTAAATTTTTAAACTACTGTGTAGTTTAAAAATTCAAATTTTTAAACTACACAGTAATATTTATTGTGTGAGAATGCGAGATTAGAGAACAATTTATTTTGAAAATTTATTCGTTTTATTTATCACATGCTGGTACAGTCTTAGATTTACCTGCTTGATTAATAATTCCAATGTAATATTTTAATCATAAAATAGACAAAAGTTGTCGTTTTTCATGGAAAAAGGAAATAGAATTTCCCTTAGAACATTGTTATCGTTTATGTCTGTCCCTTATGTCAGATGTATGTCCTGTCAGATGATTGAAACCCTAAACTCTGATTGGAGGAAAGTAAGAATAAAAACTGGAAAAATCCACAAGTTTGAGGCAGTCCACAAGAATAAGACTGTCTCTCTATGGCAGACCAACATATGGCACGCAGACCAGATCCGGCCTGTCTAACGAATTTATGTGGCGTGTGATCAATCTTTCAATATTAGCTACTGAAGTCCGAATAGATCAATGAAAAATTCTGACGCCTAAAAAAAGAAAAAAAGGTCAACAACTCACTGTGCGTTTAGAGTTAACCCTCCATTACAAATCTCGTCGTAAGTAATGTGAAAAATGTATCTGTAATATCTATATACAATTCAGTCTCTACAGGGTGACACCACAATGAGATCTCGCACCACCTCAAAATCTTCCTAGGGCAGCCTCTGGTTCGGCCCATGGAAAAAGTTTTCTTTCCAATTCTGCCCAGGGTAAAAACTGTTGGCCACCCCTGATCTAGACTAACACAAAACTGCCATAAATGACAGGTAGTCAACTGGAATTCAAACCTGCTATAGAAGAAGATAGTCCCCCTCCAACTCTCCAGCATTCACCACGTCATGCTCCCTATAAGAAGATAAGCTCTACACATCGACTGAGTTGTTATTATTTTAACCAATTGTAAAATCTCTCTCTCCGTGATTAGAGGTGTATGTAGTTAGGCCTCGATATAATGATAGGTTATTCTTTTGTACCTCTTCATCTGTTTTTATCCAATTAAACCTTTCTTATTTGTTAACTTGTTTGATTCTTTTATTAAGTACAGTCGACCCCCCTATAACACTGTTGTGCTGGGCTGTGAACGGCTCACGTATTTGTAAAATCTAAGTGACTCGTACAACATGGAATCATATAAAACGGAATTATCAACAGTGTTTGGGGGGGTCAACTGTACAGATATTTAAACTGTCTACGATCGGAACTTACATGTGACTCTCCCCACTCACATTTAAGACCCTTCTATATTTTAACGCCATCCAGTGACCCAGTGAGTGGGTCTCATGACTCAACAAATCAAAGAGGTTACAAGTAAAGTAACCTCGCCCATATTCTCACAATTGATTTGTAAACTGTTGTTTTATTCTGTGCACAATAACTTTCAGAGAAATTTTGTGTATGTTCAGGGAAAATTTTCAATCCAATATTCTGTACCTCTGTAAAACATCATCAAACAGATAGACAGAGTTCATGGAAATGCATATTTTGCAATGTTTATGTGCAAATTACTTTGGAGCACTTTAAAACCCCTTAAGCCCCAAGCCTGAGATATCTCGGGCAAGTTACATAGCGTTACATAAAATGCAGTCCTTAAGGCCATTTTTGAAAAAATTTATTTTTTGAATTTTTGGAATGTTTTTTGTCTCCAAATTTTTCAAAATTTTTTTCCATACAAAAAAATTTTATCGCGATTTTAATTTACCTTTAATGACACACACTTCACGCTTAATTGCTTTTTAATAGTTTTTAATGGGAGTTTGATATCAAATTTCATTCATCGTTCTAAAGTTGTAGTGCGCTGATTTTCCTTCAGTAAAGTTATTTATAGCTACTTTCTGATGTCAAAAACGACCTCCGATAGTTTTTTAATTAATAGATTTTATTATATATAAGTTTAATTAAGTCGAGGGGGGTCGGAAATCTCAATAAAAATTTTAATTTTTTAAAAATATAGGTCTAGTTAGTATTCATCCTACTTTAAACCCTTCTCCTCCTGAGACGTCTATGAGAATGTCCTGGGAAATATGACACCAGCTGTTTTCAAGGTCATCCAGCTGTGTAAACAATGACTTGTCAGTGTCAAATTTCACAGAAAGACCAGACAAAGGAAAATAAAATTTGAAGCTTTTTCTTCAAAATTAACACATTTCTTTCCTTTTTTTCAGTTTTAAGTATTTTTTTATGTTTAATTACATTAATATCAAAAATTGCTCGAGGCTTAAGGAGTTAATAAATTTTTATTGTGAACTTGCAGGACTTGATTTGTAATTATCTTCTGGAAGTCAATTTTTCAACTCCATTTGAAAATGCATGAATTTATTTAAGGCTTTAGATAATTATGAATCAGTAATTTTTTCAAATGTAAACTGATAATTTTAAATAATATGAATGTCTAAGACAAACAATTAGATTAAGGTATACCTAGGTAACTAAAATGGTCGCTCTTCCGGTCGCCATTTTGGAATCTACTTGCAATTGCGTAGTGACAAAAATATGATAGCGAATTTTACATACATTTGTTAATGCTACCGATAATTATTTGTAATCGTAAGATTTAGGATTAAAATGTACTTAGGTCACACCAATGATCAATATTTTGGAATCGCATTCTAACCTAACCAAACCTATTCTAATAAATTAACAATTTTTCCCAGCCTTCATATTTTTTTTAATTATTTTACATCTTACATTAATAATTTTGGTAATTTATTAAATAGGTTGGGTTAGGTTAGAATGTAATTCCGAAATATAGGCCCTTTGGGGTTAACTATGTACACATACAACGAATATTTAAAATGTATGAAAAATACTCATGTTTTAGGTAGTTTAATTCTTTTTTAGATGTTTTTTCACACCATTATTAGATTGTGTTGCAATCCTTTGACATAGACCTTTTTCCCCCAGTTGTAACCGTGTTATCATCTTTATTTGCAGATTTTTTCCCTTTCCCTTTTTTACTGTCCTTTTATTATTAGAAATAGGGGCAGCAAGCACACACTCCAGTTCTTTCCACTTTGAAATCTGACTTGAACCCGAATATATCCAACTTAAATGTTTGACAAATGTTTGAAATCGTTCTCCCGATGTTTTCATTTGCCAGTTTAATAAGTTTTTATACATAGACAAATAAAGGTAAGAATCTGATAGCTCTGATATATAATGTTTAGGAAGATTTCTTTTATTCTTTAGAAACCCCCATAATCTTTCTATTTTTTTGTGTGTGAGCTCCTGTTAATGGATTAACAAACTTTTCTGAGTGATTCACAGTTTTATGTTCAATTTCAATACCTTCAAGTTTGTTTATATGGTTGTACCATCTCCATTCATCTGTTATTACAACACTTCCAGTATTTACAAATTTCGATATCACCCAGTTCAGTATTTTCACTTCTATTGTTAACTTGACAAATGAAACACGTGTTGTCCTCCCTACAAATTCTTCCTACCACCCATTTCGTACTCTTTAGTTTCCTTCCCTTTTTGTACTTTTGTTTACATATGACAGTCTTGTAGATTTCAACAGTTTAATTAGGACCACCTACTTTAAATGAAGAAAAACTGTGCACAAAAATCATCAAAACAAAACAGATATGGTTAGCCAAAACAACAGAGGTCTTTCTAGAAATGCCAACAGCAATTGCAGTGTTGGTTAGAGAACATTCTAAACATAGTAAGTGCCAATAAATGAAATTATTGCATCCCATGTAATATGACCAAATTTCCCTTTAAATGTTCCGTTAAAGGCAGAATAGTTCTTTCTACAGTTATTACATCATAACATTATTGAATTCCAATCAGATCGAAATATTAATTTACAAGTTTTCAAGCAATCAGTGCACACATCCTCAACATGTTGCAAACCTAAAAAAACTGCAAATTTTACATCTTTACTAATCTTCTTATCTAATCCTAACTCCTCAAAACCTGAATCAATAAGTTGAAAGAACCTTCGTGTGGCGCATCCAGTCCAAAATTCATCAGATTTATTATCCACACCAGACATATTTTTTTTGTTACTATTAGACCAATAATTAAATTAAGGATAACTTGGAAACTTACCATCAAATTAGAAAAAAACCCAAATAAACAAATAAAATTATGTATGATACGAATACAATTCAATTACAGTGGAACCTCGGTATACGACCTTAATCCGTTCCTAATGTTTGGACTTATACCGAATTGGACGTATACCGAACCAATCTTTCCCATAAGAAGTAATGTAAAAATGATTAATCTGTTCTCATGAAAAAAAAAAATGGCTGGCTTTAAACACCTCGCTTTCCTGGCTAGTTCCTGCTTGATTTTTCGTGAGATCAGCGTGTATCATTTTAGCTTTCTCGCAAATAATTGCTTCCGATACGCTGTCTCCAGCACTGTTTTTCAGTTATCCAAAGCAAAAGCAATTTCTCGACATGATCTAATGTCTTCGATCTCTGTTTAGAAATTGATTTAACCCCTTTCGCAACGTTAGCAGATTTAATAATGTCTTTATTTTTCGCGATTGTCCATATCGTCGTTCTCGGAATACGGTAAACAACAGTTAAAATCTCGAACACGCGTGCCACCTTCGTATTTCTCAACAATCTCTTTCATCAGTTCCATTGTAATTCTAGTCATTTTTTTAGTTTTCTGTCGCTTTTCATTTGCCTTTTTGGGATTCGTGATTAATAAAAATAATAAAATTTTACTTAAGAATTAAAATCAGAAGAAATTAAGCAAAGTTATAAACCATTGCACCACGAACGTCTAGTCTGGTCTAGTACACCGATAGTGCTACTTGTTCATTGATGACGCGTATAATTAAATTATGTCGTATACCGAGCAAAATTTGTTTCGTCCAAACAGGACGTATTCCAAATTGGACGTATTCTAAAGCAGACGTATACCGAGGTTCCACTGTAGATATAATTGCTGAACAAACTAACTATGACTGGGAGACAATTAAAACTTTGCATAAATTCAAAACATCACATTTCACGGTAGAAGGCATAAATTTAATTCAAAACACAATATTTGCAAGCTCCCTCTATCGACAATTATTCATTCAACAGCCCGACTCAAGATTACCGGAAGAGCAGCCATTTTAGTTACCTAGGTATACATTAACCAACAAAAGTAATCTCTTACATTTTTAGTAACTTGTTCAAAAAAAAAAAAAAAAAACTAATAGTTTAATAAAAAGTGACAGAACTAACTGAGCTACATTCAAATAATATAATTTAGTTAGTTAATCATTTAATGTTTAAATATTAACATTGAATAATTTTATATTTTATACATTCATGTAAAAGTTTGTTTAAACCTATACAATTTTTTAAAAATAGTTACGATAAATGAAAAATTTATAATAAAATTCGAAAACAATTAAAAGCTAAAAATAAAATTTAAAAACTTGCGGATTTTAAAATATAGTTTTATGTAAAATCACTATAACATAAATTTTTTAAAATTACAATTATATTAAAATGACTACTCAAATTTGTCATAAAAATTTTTTATAGTCAATTGTTTGTTAAAATCTGCTTGAATTTCTAGAAAAAGTATAAAAACTGATCTGAGTCATAATTTCAAATGAAAACGAATATAAATTCTACTGTTATTTAAAAAATTTAGTTCAAAATGTTATAAATTTATTAATAATACTAAAATTTCTCTGATTTTTCAGACTTTCCAGGTCTGAAAATTTACTTGGCATTTACATTTTTGAAACAGCCAATAAAATAACTTTTTTTCTGAGATGATAATTAAAATTCCACACTTTCTTAAAGTCAGATATACAACAAAAACATGGCTACAAAAATGTGCTGAAATCCATTAAATGGATTAATAATTAAGATGTATCTCAAAATGAGATCATTTGAGTGGGATTTGGTCATCAAACACATAAGTGCAAATAGAGACCTTATTAAAATTTAATTTCATATAATGTTGCCTATTTGCAACTTTGTTCAAATGCTCACCGTTCGTTCAAGCTCATTTTAGTAGTATTCTTCAGCAAAATCTTTGTGATTGGAGCAGCTGCCATTTCTGTGGTATTAACATTAAAGAAAATGTTCTTAATAGCAATTAATACTAAAGTCATTCAATTAATTTAAATTAAGTAAGTAAACTAAATCAAATAATTTATAAAAATATGGTATCTAAAACAATATATGTTCCAATCTAACAAACTAAAATTTCAAAATAAAATCTTAAAAGTAAAAAAAGTAACAGCTTATATATTTTCAAGATAGTCAAAATTGAACTGAGTTTTTACCATTATTTTTCTAAACAATGCACACAAGCTTTCAAACATCACTTTCAAGGTACTGTAAACCATACATTTCTACCAACTTCCATACTACTTGTCAAAGCAGTCCTGAAAGCCATTTTTTTTTTTTGTGATCTAAAGAATCATTTTCCAACTTCACATTCAGATGATTGTGCTGAGTTAATAAATATCTCATCAATTATAACAATTCTTCAGTCTTTTTGTTTCCTTGAAGTTGTCCTGCAGACTTTTGTTTTTTAAAATGAGAAAGAGAAATCGAAAGATTGCAAATTCCCATCAACAGAAGAAATGGAAGCTATAACAAAAACTTCTTAAAGATATCACAAAAAATATATACTTTAACAACTACTACTTTAAGAACTACTTTACAAATATTGACAGTAGTTTATGGTTGCTGACAGAAGCATATAGCTATAGTACAGACTTATTTTGAAAATGATGATGTGTAATGAAATTTCTGACAAAAGTTCAGTTTATTTTTGACTACCTCATACATTCTCATGCAGGCATTTAAATGTTTAAAAGAAAAATATTTTGGAATATCTAAATTTTTATATTTATTTTTTATTTTTGTTATTGATATAAATACTCCCATACAAGAGGAAAAAATGAAACAGAATTTATAAATAAACAGCCACATAATAGTAACATCATTTATCACATAATAAGATAATAAAATCAGTTTCTTCCATAAAGATGACTTTGAGTCTGCTAGTAGTAATACATTAGAGAGGTTGCGGCCAATGTTTTCAATGCGAAAACGTGTACGTCGGACGTTCAGCACCGCTTTCCTATAAGCCTAGAAGTTTGACAATGGTGTTTGGATAGTCAGCAGAATCATACTCAACGTCCCAAACACCATTGCCAAACTTCTAGGCCTTTAGGAAAGCGGTGCTGAACATCTGACATAAACGTTTTTGCGTTGAAAACATCGGCTGCAACCTCTCTAATATCTGCATAAAGAAAACAATGCCAGCTTATCCATGACATTTAGGTAAAAACACCAAAGATCAGAACAATGAAATATCTCTGGAAGGCCATTTATAAACAAAATAAACAACAAATGACTTAGTGGTTCTCACTGGGATAAATCTCTAGTAGATATTATGCAAATAAAATTAACAGGGTTTTCTTTTATTTGGTAACTGGTAATAGAAAATAAATTCCTAAGCAAAATAATAAAAGATCTAGAATCCCACATTATTAGAGTTTTCTCCATAATAAATTAAGGTTAATGTTACAAATACCTTTTCTATATCAATAAAAAGTGAATAAATTTTCCTCCTTTTCCTCAGTAACACATTTTGAATTTAACTGTTAAGAATGGAAGTATTATAAATTGTCCCCCCTGAACAAAGGCCCCTTGAAATATTGAGATAGCATTACAGGAATTCCTTGATTAATGCAGTTAATTAATCCCTCGGTAATTATATAGTTTAAGGGAATATGAGTTTTTTTAATTATGTTTTAAAAAAAGAAGGTATATTTAATAGATATTCAGAAAACGCATAACATTTTTCCAAGCAATCTGTATATAAAGTGCTATAAGCAAAATATTATAGGACTACTTACCAATTGTGCCCCGTTCGAGACTCCATTGATTAAGCTTGTTTTCATCGTGGGGTGGCACATTAATCAATGGTGTCTCGAACGGGGCACAATCGGTAAGTAGTCCTATAATATTTTGCTTATAACACTTTATATAGATTGCCCAGGAAAATGTTATGCGTTTTCTGAATATCTATTAAATATACCTTCTTTTTTAAAAAAAAAAAATAATTAAAAAAACTCATATTCCCTTAAACTGTATAATTACCAAGCCATCACTAAAACTTCTGCAATTAATTTTGCACATTAACTAAAACTGCATTAAGGAATATCTGTATACTCATTTAGCCATTTTATTATCTGATTCAATAATAAACTAGTAAACAATTTTTTAAAAACAAGTTCAACAATGCTATTGGATGATAATTATATGGATTAGTTTTTTCTTGAACTACTTTCTTATAAATCATTCTTAGTAAAACTTTCTTCCATATCTCTGGAAAAACCACCTCCTCTTTAATTTTATTAAACAGACTAAGAATTTCCAAACAGATCACTCTTAGCAATGACTCAATAAATTCATTTTTTAATCTTTCCATACCAGGAGATGAACCCTTTTTCAATCTTTGAATTGCTGTTTTTCATTTGTTAAATGAGAAAGAATTATCCAAAAGAAAAGAAAAATTATCATAATTCATGGTCAGCAAGAAACTCCACACTCATAGGACAATGCAATAGAGACATCAACATGTGGTCAAGCATTATCTTATTGAACAATGACTGTTTGCAGCTCTGCTATGAAAGGCAATACATGAAAGTGTGAGATTCCTGAACATACTGCTATGCAATCAATGTCCCTCATACAACTACTAGAAGCAACCAACTAACATACAAAATGGACATCCAAATCAACATACTAGCAGTGAGGACAGTATGCTACTCAACAGTAAAGGTAGAATTGAAATATTGCCAGTAATCCTCCGTACTCTAATACAGTAGTCATCTGTCTTCAAACAGAACTGGTATTTTATGCTAAAGATAACATGCAGCCAGCCTGTAACAGTCTATGCTTTTGTCATTGCATCACCACTGCAATCAGAGCCAATGATGTTAGGATGCTAATAGCAGGACATAGTAATCATTGTGCATGAATATTTGCTTCTGCTAATCATTTGCCNAACTGGTATTTTATGCTAAAGATAACATGCAGCCAGCCTGTAACAGTCTATGCTTTTGTCATTGCATCACCACTGCAATCAGAGCCAATGATGTTAGGATGCTAATAGCAGGACATAGTAATCATTGTGCATGAATATTTGCTTCTGCTAATCATTTGCCAATGGTATGGAAAAACCCAGGGTTCTGTAGCAAGTCCTTCACCTGTCTCTTGACAGGGAACAAAGATGCCACTACAGCATTTCATACTTGTCGCACAATCAGATTGGCTGCATTCAACAGACTCAACAGTTGTAACTGAGCAAATTGGTAGCTGTTACATAGCAACCTGAATCTGCTGAATAATAAGTGACATTGCATTAAAACAAAAAGCCTCATTGGTCAATTTTAGGTAGCAAAAGATAGTGTAAATGAAAGATGCTACCAAATGTGACATCAAATCACCAAACATGTTCCAAAAGAGCGCTATTGTAGAGGGCATTCAGCAGAAAAATACTCAACAGCTCCAGAACTGTTGAGTCTGCTGAATGCAGCCATTATCACTCTCTTCTGGTGATCTATTTAGGGCAGGGATGGCCAACATTTTTTCCCTCCAGGCCGAATTGGAAAGAAAACTTTTTCCACAAGCCAAACCAGAGGCTGCCCTAGGAAGATTTTGAGGTGGTGCGAAATCTCATTGTGGTGCCACTCCGTAGAGACTGAATTTTAGATAGAGATTACAGATACATTTTTCACATTATCATGCTTTATCAACACTCTACGCTGTACTTAAGAGATTTGTAATGGAGGGTTAACTCTAAATGCACAGTGAGTTGTTGACCTTTTTTTCTTTTTTTAGACATCAGAATTTTTCATTGAGCTATTCAGACTTCAATACCTAATATTGAAAGATTGATCGCAGGCCATATAAATTCATTAGACGGGCCGGGTCTGGCCCACAGGCCGTATGTTGGCCATGCCTGATCTAGGGTGTCCAGAGTCTGCCTCCCATATCTGCTGTCATCATCAGTCAGATCAGAATAACCAAATGACAGACAATTAGTTGAAATAGCCATCCCTCAGGTTGCATAATTTCTGTACTGCGTTATATTAATACAAGAATGGCTGATGTTTGAAAATCTCCAAACGAGTTAACTGAAAATTCTGAATGCAGTAAGCCTCTGCAAGTCTTTTCACAGGCTAATTGTGTAGCAATTTTAAGGCACTCTGGTAGCATTATCTAAAATGCAATTGAATCGTGTCTGAGACATCTGTTTATGTCAAACATAGTTATGTATCATTTTGTAAAAATCATACAATTCTATCTGATGTGTAACTTGTTTTCCTATCAATGAGTGTTAATCTTTACTTAATAAATTTATATAAAGAAACAACACTGTTGCTACATCTAAATTATTAATAAGCAACAAGCACTTTTGATTTAATTTAGACTATCTTCAGGTTCTCTGCCATTAGAACAGAATAAATTATCTGTTACATAATATTTGAATCAGTAAATGAACAATATCACAATGCTAAACTGAATCACAAATAGTTCATCAGCGATGATAATTTTTTGGGTCACATGCAAATGATTAAACTTTCAACTACTTCTCATATAATAACTTTAATAGTATTTAGCAAAATATATTTTTCTAAAGTTTTAAAAAACAAATTATAAAAAAAAACTATAAGAACCACATTTAAAAATATAAATAGTTTAGTATGATATAGCAATTTTTTCAATTGTAACAGTATCATGGATATTTTTCTAAACATTCTCAGCCATCTTCAAATGTATTAGATTTGAAATTGCATTTAAAATTAGCATTATCAAAAATAAACAATCACTCATATTTAAATTATGATTATAGTAAAACTTGCTAATGTGACCACTGAAGGGACCAGCTCAAAGTGGTCATCTTATGCAGAAAGAGGGATGTAGATGTTCTTGAATGAAATCACTTAATTAAGTAGAAATAAGCAAAAAACCTAAATATAGGCAATTTAATAAGAAATATAAAAACATGCAAAACAATTGAATATATAGTTGTCTAAACAAAAACTCAAGAAGAAAAAATGCAACAAATTCAATTTTTTGTGAGAAACTCATCAATCTTGGATTGCTTTATAACTTCGTTTCTTAAAATTTCATCAGCTAAAATTTTCTTTTCTTATTATACTGGCATAATAACCTCAGGTGTTATTGAAAATAAAGAAGAAAATGAATCTAATCTTCAAATTAAAAATCTATACAAAGAAATTTAACAATAAGCAAAGAACACACAAAGCTAGCTCACTTTACTGGACAAAATAAAAATATAAAACTCTGACATGGGAAACTTCAATATCAACCCAATGTGATCATCATCATAATGGAAATGAAAAAATTTCCCACCAATGCAGCTGCTAAAAATTGCACAGCATCACTATGTTATTTTCAATTTATGATTATTTAAAATTTTTCAAACTCATTTCTTTACTAAGCTTCCCAAAATAAATATTTAAAAAAATTATAAGAAATTTAGTTTAAACTTTTCCCCTTATCCACAAAGTACAATGGTTTCAAATATTTTATATTTGCAATGTGATCAATACAAATTAAATGATATTCTTTAAAATTTTTTGGTTTTATGTTTCTTTTTAATGGTCACTTTACCCAAGATGATTTATCTTGGGACATGACCAAAGTGGTCAATGGTCACAAAAGACAGTGGCCACTATTTGCAGATATACAGTCGACCCCCCTAAAACACTGTAGATAATTCCGTGTTATATGAATGCCATGTTGTACGAGTCACTTAGATTTTACAAATACATGTTGCCGGGTTGGGAACGACTCATGTATTTGTAAAATCTAAGTGACTCGTACAACATGGAATTCATATAACACAAAATTATCTACAGTGTTATAGGGGGATCTACTGTATTCCCATTGCAAAATGTATTATTTTGCAGGGACCAGCTCAAAGTGGTCAACTTAAGCAGATGGTAACATTAGCAGGTTTCATCGTAATATTTGAAAACATTTTTCAAATATACGGGTTAGCAGGTTTCATTGTAAACCTGCTAATGTAACCATTATTTGAAACCATTGTACTTTGTGGATAAGGGGAAAAGTTTAAAGTAAATTTCATATAATTTTTTTACATTTCTCAATAAAGGTACAAACTTCGTAACAATTGTAAAACAACAAAAAATTTTTTTTTATTTTCTTCACACTGTGGGCAACACTCTGGCACCTGACACTCAGCAAAGCACTACACGGACTCTCCACACTAGTCATGACTCACAACATAAAAAAATGTACTAATTCCTTTGTTCCTTTGTTTTAGGTGGGAAAATCTTAAGGGATTGCAAAAGACACTCCCGAGTCACATGACAATTTCCATTTAGTTTTATATCTCAAAACATTGAAACGAATTTATATCACATAAATTAATTTGCACAAAATCAAATAATAAATTGAACTTAACAATATTTGTAGGCATTCCAAGTCAATAAAGCAAAGTACTAAAATGTTTATTTGAATTTATTGTGAAATTTTAGTACACTACATTATATCTCCCTTCAATCAAACATGAATTTTAGTGGCCTTTCAGGTTAACATCTAATAACATTCTGGCTCTAGTTTCTATGTATGTATCAGCAGTCATATTCACAGCAATAGTAAATGGCTGCATTCAGCAGAGTCAACACTTGTAACTGAGCAAAGGTGTTTCAATCGGTAGCTGTTACGTAGTTACATCTGCCGAACGACAAGTGGCGTATACATTGGAACAAAAAGCAGCCATCATTGGTCAGTTTCAGGTAGCAATAGGTAATGTAAATAAAAGACGCTATTAAATGTGACATCAAAATACCAAAAAATGTTCCAAAACGGCACTACCATAGAGGCGTTTAGCAGAAAAATACTCAACTGTTCCAGAACTGTCAAGTCTGCCGAACACAGCCATCATCTTGCTATAAATATATTAACCACATAACAAATGGCAGTTCCACTTTTAATATGATACAGTTCAATATAAATTTATTTGTATCTTTACCTTGTCGATCCAATTATAATGAGTTAACAATGAAAACAAGCATAGAATCCTGTACAAAGTAATAAATTCGATCTAGCATTTATTACTGATTCATAATTTATTTAAACACGACTGAATCACCAGTATTAAAAATAGAAATCAGCCTAACATAAAAATTTGGCATTAAGATGTAATCAGCCGCGTGCTAATAGTAATGTTTCAATATGTAAGAGGAAGTTTCGAAATCGCCATCTCGACAGAAATTTATCCACGAATTCATATAAAAACACTCGACTTAAATAAGTAATTCACGTCAATATATTTACTAACTTTAAAAAATATGAACTTACACCAATCTATAATACGAATTAGGAATATTTCTATAGTAAAACGTAATTTTATAAAGTTACCACCAATTCTACCTTATAAAGGATACTGTAACGGTATCTTGTCCGTAAATTTCCAAATCAACGAAAATAAAAGCTATTAAATTACTGTTTTCCAGTTTATCAAGCCAACTGAAAATAAAAGCTTTTAAAATGTTAACTAAACAATTTAGTACGTCTTCTTAGCGATATATTTCCTTTCTTTTTAACTACATATAAAATTGACTGTCACTTCTCAAAATGTCTTTCGAAAAAATGGCGTAGTAAGTAACGAAACGTACTGCCAGATTCTCTCACGTTTCGTTTATTTTACCGCCAAATGTATATAAATTTTAAAGTTTTCTGAAATATCGATAAATATTTATTTTAAATAATTAATAATTTATGCTATTAAAATTTAATTTTAAAAGATTTTAATAAAATGATGATTTTATATTTTTAATTCGTGATGGAATTCAACGATGATTAATTTATATTATAAAAGGCGAGTATAATAATTGAAATTAATTTTCAATTAAATTAGCTAATTTTTCATCTATAATAAAAATGCCAGAGTGCCAGTCATATTAGAGTTAAGAGTGCATTGCCGACGGCCGGATAGCCAAGCGGTCAAAATGGCAGCCTACCACTCTGAGGAACCCGGGATCCCCAGGAATTTATCGGGGGTGATCTGACCGGATGTGTCGATCCCCGTCTCTCACCACCCGACCGCCCCATTGTGGACCTGGCCGAACCCATAATGGGCTTGCTAAAAGATACTCTTTTAGTACCCACACGGCGGAAAGAGCAAAACAAGAAAAGGTGTACGTATTGCCTGGTAAAGTGACTTTAATACAGCATAAGCAGAGCAATGTTTTACAACTTCTCTCATCACGGACCGGTAAAATTATGGATAATTTTACATGGACTAGTGGGTGTAGCTACATATTCAGTGCCCTGGAACAAGTAGAATCCTAGTAAAAAAAATACAAAATAATAATACACAAAAAAAAACTTCAAAATGTTTTTCGCTTTTTCGTTTGTAAATCGGCCAATCACTTTCTCCAGATCAAGTTAACAAGCTATTGATTTTTCAATTGATATAGTAGCCAAAGAGCTAAGACGATGCTGTGACATGCTGCTTCTTGAAGAAGTTTTGATTAATTTTGATTTTGAATTTTAGTTTTAAAAACTTCGTTCTGCTGTAGCTGTCGTCGCCGATAAAGTTAAAAAAATGAGGCATGATGCATAATGTCGGAGAAGTACTTGAGGCTGCGGTATGAATTAAAAGTAGTTCGTCAACTTCGCGTATAGAAGTATGATAATTTCTTTTAAATGAGTATAAAAACACATTTTAAATTGTGAGAACGCTGATTGAGGGGGAATTTTATTCCCTACCGTCGGGATAGCTGTAAGGTTTACGCGTATGTCGGTGGCGGTTTTAAGAAGTAGGAAAAGACAAATGTTTCACAGAGAAACCGTTTATTCTGATCGAAATTGCTTACATATTTTTAGTAAAAGGTCCTTCGATTCAAAACTTTAAGATGTCTTCGGATTCGACCTGGTCTCGCGTTGTAGAAGTTTCGGATGCGTTATGGTCCAGCGTCGTAGGAGTTTCTGCGGCGATCTGGTCCAGCGTCGTAGAGGTTTCCTGACAGTGTTAACTAAAAAGTTCGAAGTCTCGAGAGACAGAACACGAAAGATGAAAGGATGCACGAAAAAACAAAACGGAGGTAAACGAACACAATAGGTAGTCTACGTGGAAGCTTCCTTTGTTCTTGAAATCGGTGTTTTTATAAGTTTTTCGAGATCGACTTGTTGCTAATTGGACAGACTTTACATCATCGCGTTCTAATTGGTCTTCCACCTGTCTCCAGGTGTAAATGGAGCTTCGTATAGTTCGTGGAAAAGTTCGGCTGGAGATAATTCATTCGACACCATCTTTTAGACTATGATCGCGTTTAATCGTTGACTATGACACCTACACTCATTTTGATATTTTTTTCTAGTTTCGTTTTGCTTTCTAAACTGCGTCTTAACTGTAATATTTTAAATTTTCTTTTTCTAAATCTAAAATTTTGTTTTTCCTGTTATTCTCTATGAGCGTCGACGTCAAAGTCCGGTGTCGCTGGTTCGACACTTATATAATTTGTTTTCTTGTCGGTTTAACTTAACAAATTTTTACATATCTTTCTTTTTTTCCGGAGGGGGCTATTTCGGGGGCTCACAAAATCGAAGCAGTTGAAATCCAAAACTAGGCCAAATGTCGGAGGGATATGACGATCTTTCCTGAATATTTTATTTTGGAAGGATCAGAATTGTTACAATTTTTATCAGGTAACGCGACAGGATGTGCAGGTGATAAGCACTTAAAAAGTGTACATAATTGTCAAACGGATTCAAATCTAATAGTTAATTAATTAATTATTAAATCCAAATCATTTTACAAATATTTTTACAAGTTTTTATTTCGCCCTTTCTAGCTTGGCGCCCTCATAATTCGTACGCCTGAAGCAGTTTGTTCCAACTGCTCGGCGGTAGCTACGCTTTAACATGAACCAATAATTATATGCTTATTTATTAAGCTTATCTAGAATTACTATACGTAAGAAAGTACGTACAGTAACTCTAGATTACTAGATTTATTTAAATGCACTCGTAGTCAATTGCACCAGCATCAGTACGGTGAAATACTTTTTACGACCCGGTAAAACTTTTCGTAGACCGGCAGTTGAAAACACTGATATAGACTGTTTCATTTGAAATGGGCCATGCCGTTTCAAATGAAATAGTTTATAAAACAATCGGCCGGAAGACCGAGCGGTCATGGTGGCAGCTTAGCGCTCTGGTGACCTCGGATCCGAACGGGTCGAAAACTCCTCAGAAATTTTCCAGGTGGTGGTCCGGATATGTTGGGCCTTGTTCCTCACCACCCGGCGGTCTCATTGTGGGCCTGGCCCAACCCATAATGGGCTTTCTTAAAAGAAACTCTCTTAGTGCCTACAAAGCAGAAAGAGTTTTTTAAAAAATTTAGAAAACAGTTGAGATCGCTGGGACAACTCTAAAAGAGGAAGATTTACATATTAAACTCTACCCAGCATCAAGGAGCGAACAGAAGTTTACAATTAAATTTTATATGTAATTAATGAAAGGAAATACTGTATATCGGCCCCCGGGTGGCTTAGACCAGATCATGTCACTACTCAAATCCTTTCAGATCATGCCAACCACAAGGCTTACTTGTTTTGAGTTCGGCGAGGTGCAGATACCAGTTATCCATACGGTGAAGACTTTTTTAAAACTATTTCCGCCCTGTAGGCACTAAGAGGGCCTCTTTTAAGAGATCCACCCACCGAAAAATTTCTGGAGATTTATCTACCCGTCTGGATCCGAACCCGGGTCCCCCAGAGCGGCAGGTTGCCACCTTGACCGCTCGGCCACACGGCCGTCATACGGTGAGGATTTGCAAGACATGACCCGCATATTTATGAAATTTAAAAAATATGCTTTACAGAGACATTATGCAAACATGACTCTAGACGTAAACCCTACAACGCTCTATATCATTAAGAAAAAGTTTTCGAAAAGTTGTTTTCAGATTTTAATTGCCAGTGTACAGTGCATTACCGATGACTGAATGGCCGAACGGATAAGATGGCATCTTACTGTTTTAGAGAACCCAAAATCGAATTCGGACCGGTCGAGAAACCTCAGAAATTTTTTGGAATGGTCCGTCCGGATTTGTCGGACTCCGTTCCTCACCATCCGGCCGCCCTATTATGGGCCTGGCCGAACCCAAAATGGGCTTGCTAAAAAAAGGTCTTAGTGATCACAGAGCGGAGAGAGTTAAAAACATAAAAGGTGTACATTACCAGTACTATTGCGTATTCTCTTAGGCTCTTAGCGAAAATCGTAGTCTGGTACATAAAAACTATCTAATCAATTTTATAAAAATTATTTTAAAAACACTTTATTGCAGATTGTATTATACATAATTGATATAATTTAAATAAAAAAGTAATTAATATAAAATTAAATTATAAATATAATTTATAAATTAATTTTGTTTATGGGTAGATAAAATACGTTGCTAAGGCAACAGTATCGACACAGCTGACTGACTCACAATTGGTTAACTGTAACAGGGTGTATAAACGATCAATAATCAACAGAACAACGTGGAGAGATGTAGAGCAAGATGGCTGATGTAGAGAATGTTACTCTTCCCGAGAATATAACAAACCTAAAATGGGAAGGGAAACCAATTTTTCCTATTGCTAACGAAGAAAATCGTGTATTATCTGAAGAATTGGCCAACGTGAAGAAAGAAATTCAAGACATTCAGGTAAAGATCGACGATCAGTCGAAACTGAATAGTTTGTTGGAAAATCATCGTAAGGATGTGATAAAAGAGATTAATTCTTTAAAACAAGTGTGTCAAGCGAGAAAGAGAGAGTTAATAGCTGGAGAGAATGTTCATAAATTATTATTACGCGAAAGATCGTGGCTGGAAAAACATTCAAAGATACTAAATAAGGAAATAAATTCGTGTAAGGAGAAGCAAGAAAAGTGTAAAGCTTCCATAGTAGAACAGATGAGTAAAAAAGAAAAGATACAGAACGATTTGCATATGGATCATGGAACTTTAGAAAAATGGCTTAAAGAATCTGCTAAAACCGAAGGTGATGTTGAAATATTGGAGAAATACAAATATTTAAATAACGCTAGAATAAGAGATCTGGAAGTAAAAATAGAATACGCTAATAAGGATTTAAAGCATTGGAAAACTGTGGCCAAACAAATTAATCTAGAAATATTATCTCTACAAGCAGAACTGAATCGTTTAGCTGAAGATTTTAAACTTGCTCATCAACAGAGACGTGACATTTTAAACCAGATAGAGAAAGGAATAGAAAAGATACGAAAAAAAGATAATGAGATTAACGATTCGGTTCTGCAATTAGAGCAGATTAAAAAAGAGATTTCTCGGTTAGAAGACGATAAAAAGGACAGAAAAAGGTTTCTAGAACGATCAATTCACGATAACAGGAATCTGGAAAATGTTCTCAGACGTACCGAACAAGAATTGAAAACGATTCGAATTGAGGTAATGCGATTACAGAAACACAAAGAAGATTCAAATTCAGAATTAGAGATCCAGAGACACGCTATTAATAATCTAACCACAAAATTGTCAGGTTTACGTATTGAGAAGAAAGAAAAAGAGAAACAGATTGAACAGAAAAAATTGTATTTAGAACATATCGATCGAGAGAAAGAAAAATTAGATAAAGATTTAGAACAGTTAAAAGAGGATGAAGCTAACGAAGAAAAATGTTTCCAGCGTTTAGAAGACGATATCAAAAAAGCTGAAATTAAATATGAGAAGGAAAAAAAGAAGTTGAATGGTTTTTTATGCGCTAAAACAAAAGCCTTTAAGGAACTAGAAAAGTGTAAATCGGAAGAAAAAGTATTTTTAAATAGAATAGATAAAGCTAAATCCGATATTAAAGATATTAAAAAAAATAAATCTCGAGAAGAAGCAAAAGTACTTCAATACCAAGAAGAATTATACAAGTTAGATTACCAAATATTAAAATTAGAGCAAGGCTCTAGAGAAAGAAAAGATGGAACTTCAGAACAGGATGAAATTATTGATTTAAAAGCCACATTAAATAAGTTAAAGAAGATTCACGAAGAAAGAATGTGCAATTTAAAGTTTTTAAATATTCACATACGTAATAATCAAGAAGAAATTTATCGATTAAGAAACAAACTTCAAAAAACCAAATCGGATCAAACAGATTATACGAATAAATTACAAGAAATTAAGCTTTACATTTCATCAGCTCAAAACGAATATAAAAAAGTGGTGGAGGAAAGGGGAGAACTTACTATAGAAGAATGCTTATTAAAAGCAAAATTAAAACGGTTGCAAAAATTGTTAGATAAGAAAGTCGATGATGTGTTTAGTGTACAGAAAGAAAATGTACAGTTCGAAAGCAATGTTAAACGACAACTCGAAGAGTTAAATGCTCGAAAGAATGTTCTGAAATGTGAAATAAGACAATCTGATCAAGAAAGACAGATGCTATACAATAAACTTAATAAATACCAAAACAGAACAGAAGCTTTGCAAACAAAGTACAAATGCATTCTAAGTGTTTTGGGATTAAAAGACGATGACGAAAGGAAGGAAATCGATTTATTAATCGAAGCGGAACAAGAAAAAGCAAAACTAAGAAATGACATTTATGAAGAAAGCAAAACACTCGAGAAAATGGTGGAAGAAGTGAAGGGCTTAAAAAATAGCCTGAAGCTAGTTAAAGATACAAATGAAATATATAAACAATGGCTTAAGTCTGATGAAGACGATGATACTCTTCGTGTACGCGAAATGGAAGCAGAAAAGAAAAAACTCGAAGAACAAGTCGAACAAAAAAGGAAAGAATTGATTCGTGTTAAAGATGAAATAGCTTCTTTACGAGTCAAGAATGAAGAGTTAGAAAGGATTTACACAGATATGCAAACGAATTTAACCGAAAAGAATTTTAGTTTAGAGAAAATCAGCCGAGAAATACAAGAACAAGAAGAAAAATTAAGCAGGTCCGACGATATCAATTACAGACTAACTTTAAGTGCCAAAACTTCGAATGCGAATGCGGAATTACAGATGGAAGATGTTAAAATTAGATTATTAAAAGAACTTTACAAACAGGTAATCAATTTAATAGAAGAAATGTGCGAAAAACATCCTCAAATTATACAGAGGGTGCGATGTTTGTTCACGGAAGCATCTCTACCCCTTCCAGCAAAAATTTCTGACAAAACGTCTTTAAGAAAATGCAGTTGGACTTCTTCTACTTTATCAAAATTGAGTACTCCTGCTAGTAGATCTCAATCGAGAGGTATTAATAAATCGAGTGGTTCGGAAAGGACTGTCATGTCTACGAAGATTGTAAGTTTAAGTCTAGATCCTATAGAAGCGAGAAGTGAAAGTAAAACTTCTCTGCATTCTAGCCAAATCAGCGTGAAAAGCAAATAGTCTAAAATCTTTATGCATTTGAATTAAATGGTGCTAAATAATTTTTCTATAATTAAAAATATTTTAAAAATTACTTGGAAAACGATTTTATTCCGAAAAAATTTTCAAAGTTATTTTCCCAAGATTTCCTTCCATTGAATCTTTTACAGAATTATTTCAAAGGATATTATAATTGTTAATATTTAGCTATCAACAGTGATATTTTAATTATTATAGCTAAAGTATATTAATTATATCATTATTTAAATACTGTAATAGTTTTTAAACCTTCTGATTATGAGATCAGTGTATGAATTTAAGTTCACGTAGCCTATTCTTCAATATAAGGATACAAAATATAATTTATATCTCCATACGTAATTTTAAAATCAATTATTAATGCTTAAAAATTAATATTAAAATTTAAGATAATTTTGTTATTGTTAAAAATATGTTCTGATCGTGTTGTTAAACAACTTGACATTAGACTGATTAAGATATACTTGTTTTCAGCTTTAAAAAAAGAAAAAAAATGTTATTTAGTTGTTGTAGACTATATAAAAACCGAAAATATTAAGTGAAGCTTTATATTTTAAAATAAACTTTACAGAAAAATTTTTGCATTGATATATTGATCTCGTATGGAACATTATTAGGATACATTACATAAATGCTCATGTTAAGAGACACAAAACGAGAAACAAAAGTCAAGTTTTGTTCTTCATTTTACGTTATTCCTCAATACGTGCAAGAATGTAAATTAAATTGGCAAAAATTCACATATTTAAGCAGTTTTTAGAACAAATTTCGAAGAGTACAGGCAGATTAATTCAGAAGGTGAACCTCTAATTTAGGACATATACATGTCTTTTTGGACGCCAAAATGTATAGAAGGGCTCAATAATTTTACGTTAAAAGTCTAAAGAGAGATCAAATCATTCATATTATTTAAAAACACTGTAAGTAACGTTATTATATAAAAATACAATCACTATATTTACGTAAGCATATGTTTACATAATAATACAGAAATAGCAAAGGCACATTATACTATGCACTTTTCCGATTTTGCCTTATTAACACCGTAGGCCTACTACAAGGATAAATTTAGATTCGATACTACTAATTGACTCTTTAAAACGTTCTTAATGAAGTATAATATGGTAAGTCAGAAAGAAATATTTTGGAAAGACTAGGGAATAAAAACTCCTGCAAAGTGGGTGCTCTTAAAAATAAGAAAGATAAGAGTACGCTCCTTTATAAGTGATTTCTAATTTGTAACTTTACTTGTTTAGTGGTTTTTATGATACTGTTATGTGATAATAGGAAAAATAGTTTTTCATATAAATTATTTTTACTTCTTTTACATTTAACAAAACGTACTTTACAACTATTTGATTCTCCAAAATTTTCTGATCTTGTAATCAAATTTGGAAGAATTAGGTAGCAATTCATTATCCTAATAAAATATAATTTTTAGGTGTGGACAATTGCTGGTTTAGATGTAAGGATGAGTTAATAAACAATTATTGAAAGTTTGGGTTTTATTGGCTTTAATTAAAAAACTGGTATGGAAACAAATTATTGTAGTAATATAAATAAATAGCTTGAAATTCTAATTTTTAGTCATTTGGAGTAATTGGTCAAATATGTTTAAGGTTGAAATACAGTAGAGCATCGATTATCCGACTCAATTGGGGACTGGGGTTGGTCAGATAACTGAAAAAACGGATAACCGAAAAATATGAAAAAATACATTATTAGTATAGTATATTATTATATCCATGTAATTAGTATATTAGTATATCGCTATTAACCTACTTTGCGCTGAATTTTCCTCCATGTTAAGCCTATCAAATTTTTTAAAAAAATAATAATTGTCGCTATTGTATCGTTAAAAATTAGAAAATTAAGCCTCATTTAAATACTGGCTCCCTTTTATGGTCGATCCAGTGTTGCCAGCTAAAACACGTAAAAGTACTATTAAAGTAGGCAAGACATAGCCAAATATTGTAGCACCACATCACTAGCGGACATTTGAATTTGGCGACTAGAACGGTCGGTTAACCAATGTGACGGTTAACCGGGGTCGGATAATCGATGCTCTACTGTATTCTCAAGCACATTTTTAATGGAGATCAAATTTCTGAACAGTTTAATTGTATAATATACTTTTATAATTTATAAATAAGTTTGTTGCGATTTGAGATAAACTATCTGCATTGTTGCTTTCTCTTTCAGCCAGCAGCGAGTCCAGAAGTACCAAAAGGAAAAGTTAAAAATATCTGAATAATTAGTACATAGGTTATCTGTATTAACGTGCGTATGACGATTATATTGCGGATGGTCCGATAAACCATATTTGCCATTTGGAGTTCGAACAAATAAACTTTATTTTTTTTAATATTTATTTTTGTCAACGGGGAAGGCTTAATCACCTTAACCCTTCCCTTGTATCTGCCACTGCCTTCAGCAATTCTTTTTGAGCTTCAAAATTTTCTTTTACAAGAAATAGTTTTTTTTAATCAATTTTGCTCTTTAAATCTTCTAATTTTTTATGGCTGAAGAAATAAAATAAACATAGAATTAACATTTTTTTAACGTGCTCCAGCAAATCCTGCCAAAATTTAACACAGTAACTTAACTTTCTATCAACAAGCAAAAATCATCACTTTCACTTTAAAGGTCTGAGAACTCATTATTTCAAATGTAAAATGTTTTGAAAGTAGGTTGAAAATTTCACTTAGCTGTTAAAATCACATGGTTTAATTTAAAAATTCACAATTTACGAAAATTCGACGTTCCTTTACAAAGTGTGATTAGACATGGTTAGTTCCGAATCGGAACCGTTACTGCTTCGAAACTATTAGGGATCGCTCCACATCGAATGTTGAGACAGTTCCAGTTGGAACTACCAATGGTTCTGCATTCTGTGCTTTTATAAATACAGTACGGCTTTTCATGAAACAGTGAACTCCTGGATTTGAACTTGAACTAAATGAAAATGTTTCACGTGAGTTTAGATACAATGAAATTAGTTTTGAATAGGCCTATTTAACATTTATAAAAAATATTTGGAAAAATTATAGGTATTTTTATTAAATTTCATAATTAGCCTCTTTGTTTTTATTAGTAACTAACAGATATCCGTCCGGGAAAAAGTAAAGACTGGTTTCCACAACACCAGAAAATACACCATAAACAGAAAACAGAAACGGAAACGTGATGTCACTTCCTATCCAGAAGTTTCCGTTCACCAAAATCCTGCCGGAGTAGAAAAACTTCAACTTTCGTAACATGCTTCACTCTAGCATTAAAACTGCTCTATCTACATAAATACTGTAATACTGTAACTCTAAAACATTCGTTAATTGTAAATTGTTTAGATCTAATTGTCCTCGTTGTCAGATAATCTCTCTCTCTCTCTCTCTCTCTCTCCTTTCTTTATAGCCGGCAGCCACATGGGGGAAGATTACATGATGGTTTTAAAAGCTAACGACCAGTATTTCTCACACCTGAGCCGCGGTTTTACAAAGAGTTTGCAGATTGATACCTGAAATTGAACCTAAATTCGAACTCGACCAGATGGAGTAATCGATTTTGAATGATCAATGGTCCTTACAAAGTAAAAAACCTCCTTCCTCTCTTCCAGTGTAGACGTCATTTATGGACATCCCCTAAAGATGTCAATGCTAAAATCGTACGTACGTGCTAAAATCGACCTAATTCTGCTTGCGATATTCTGGTATTGTGGAAATAAAACTAAACGAAGAATGAACGGAAACGGAATCTAGTTGTTTTTCTGTTTTCCGTTTTCGCTTTCTATTTCTGTTTTCTGGTAATATAAAAACAAGCCTTAATGCCATTTCATGTTTCACTTCCACTATTCCGTTTCCATATACAAAGAAATAATGTTTTCTATTCGTTGATTCCATTCCGTAAAACGTATTCTAGGAAGTTCCCAGAAACCGCTTTAGTCCAACGGACTAGGCAGTTCCAAGTTCAGAGTAGAGGTGGCCGATCCAGTTCCAGCTCCAGCGACTCCGTATAGCACCAATCAAACAATTAATCATGGTGATTAATTGTTTGATTCATACTCTGGGATAATTCACGTAACGCTATTTTTATGCTTTTCAACTACGTCCCATCTCTTGTAACGTCCGTAATGCTGTCGCACATACCCACCCCCAAAATCGTCGTTCAATCCCTTAATTATACTAAGGAATAATACACAGCACGGGATACTGAACGTTACATTATTTTATTAATTACGTACAAAGAAGTGACATAAACAGTACAATACAGCAATGCAACTGTACTTTAGAAATAAGAATGAATCATTTTGTTACCCAAGAGTTGAGATCCTAGCATCACCGTAACATTTTAGTAAACACCCCACCTCCTTGCAACGTATCGTAACGATTACCTGCATACTCATCCACCTGTATTTGCGTTATGTAATTTAGGGACAGTTCTCTTAGATGCCACGTAATCTTATATGTCCTTACCATAATAATTACTAGAATTTATGCTTTTTTTTTCATAATTTGCAGTATAAATGGAAGAATATTAATTTTTAACTAGATTACAAATAAAAACTTTTATTTTAAAAATATAAAAAAAAATTATTACAATATTTATTACAAATTTCATTTTTAAATGTTTAATTTTAAATATAGAATGTTAAGTATATTTGTTTCTTGTATTTATTTTGGATATTCAAAATATTTATCTCAAAATTTAACATTTATCACAAGTAACGAGACGTGTACACTCCGAACTATACTGTATATTTGACTATCTTCCTTTAATATACAAGCAATGCCATAAATTAAATTTCCCAGATAATATCTGAAAGATAAGTGAAGAGAGAAGATATTACAATACCTAACTCGAAATATAATTTTTTTTTATTGAAATTTTTATAGCAGGAAGATCATTTCTACTTTATTTAAAAACTAAATTTATGATAAAATTTTACTTTATTAGAAAATAAGGAAATTAGTGAAATTTCCAGTGATTTATTTGTCAAGCCTCTCTACAGGTTTTCTATAATATAAAAGTATAAGTAAAAATCCTGAAGTATAAAGTTCGTTACGTTATTTATGTTAAATTGTGTATGAATATAATTTATAATTATTTTTGCCAATGTTTTATATTAACAATACATATCTTACTACCTGAGATACATCGCCATAAGAATTACATTTTAATATTTTATAGTTTTATGTCCAGTTTAATCATTTAAATAGTATTATTGCAGAATAAAAAGGGAAATTTCTTACATTATAAATTATATTATTAATTAAATAATCCGTTTATACTATGTCAGATAAGTTACTATTCACAGTATCGAATAAAAAGAAGAATCTGTACTTAAATAATAAGAAGCTAAATTATCCAAAAGTTATGACTGTTAACTGAATACAAGTTTATTATTTTCCCATATATATTAATACAATATACAGTACACTATATAATTTGTTGACACTGTATTTTACCCATTAATGATAGTTCTGATCTGCAAGTCGCTACATCAATCTAGAATGGATAACCATGCTTGATCCGAGCCATTGATGAAAACTTATGAACATCTAGATCGAAATGGGCCTCGGATCCTTATAAAAACTAATGAATATCTGGTGGAGAGCTTATCCGATTCTTTAAATTTATAATTTTAGTGATAAGGGCTGTCCATAAATGACGTTCACACTAGAGGGAAGGAGGGGGTTACGACAAGTCGAACAAGGGGAGGAGAGGAGTTGATCTTCAGTGGACGTCCGATTTATTTCATTAAATTTTATACAGTGTATGCATTTTATTATATTTATTTCAAAATGTTTTGTATGTTTTGTTTTTACTTATGGTATCTATCATTCGTAAAATGATAAAGGTTTTAAGGGGGGATTCGAGTTTTGTTGGCCGTCTGAAGAGGGAAGATTAATTAATGAGTAAATGCCTTGCTCTTACTCAACCAATTAATCTTTTATATTTACTTGTTAATTTAATAAGAAGAAAAATAATTTAAAACTGTAATTTATGGTAGGCTACTTATGTTATGAGTTCACTTACTTATAATATATCCATTCAAATTATTTATCACTTGTTATCCTTTTAACTAAATTAATTTAAATTGTGCTCAAAATATGGAACCAATAGGCTCACAATATGCAGGCACTCCAAACTAACATTGCCATTTTTGCACAGAATGATTCTATTTTATAATTTTACTTCTGCAGTAATCGTATTTTACAATTTTTAAATATCAAAGGCGGACAAAGGGAACTGCTACTGAAATCAGTCATTAATACTACCACTGTTCATGCAAAATATTTTCATATATTATACTCAATTGATATGTCTTTTTTGTTCCTACTTAAACTTTTAATTTGCACTAATTACGTCTACGTAAAATTATTTTGAACTTTTGCACTCCTAGGCCTGTACCTAATGTGCATAATGGAAAATCCATCACTGAAAATTCATTTGGAATGTTTAATTAATCTTTTTAGGTTTTAAACTTAGACAATAATATATTATGTTATATTCATTAAATATTTTAGAATAAATACATTAATCTTTCCTAAAATATTTGATTTATTATGAATGAAAATAATAAATTTGGAATGTAATTAATTCAAATTATGAAGAATGGAATAATACACATCATGATATTAATAATTACATATTATTCATCTAATAAATTACTTTGTTAATGAATTATTATTAAATAAAAATAATCTTTATAACAGGTTTTTGACCCTTATTTTTTTCAATAGTTAAGGAACTTTAACCGTTATGCAAGAATAATTGTATTCAGGTTTCCTTTTCAGCCAATTGAATTGTATTTTCATCTGTTAGTTTTTGTTCTATCAACATAATACTCTTCGCTATATCAAATTTCTAATTCATTACTGTTATCCTACATCAATGAATTGATTAGATATTAAAATATTCTTTTATAATTATTATAATTTAATACAGCTGACATTAATCTATCTGATTTCATCATAGCTTGTCAGTCTTGATGAATCACAGATTCATCACGACTGACTTTTAAACTCCATTAAAATCATCTTGCATATACTACTATATTAATTAAAATATTTGTTAAAAACTTTTATATATCTTATTCTTAATGATTTAACAAATGCTTTAAATTAGCTATGCAATCATTAATTTAAAATATCTGTAAAGAAGGTAGTTGCAGTGTTTGAATCAATTTTTTTTATAAATTTTCATTTCTCAACAGTAGCATTGTCAATTGGTAACTTCCATACATTATTTTGTAATTTTTTTCATTGAAAAACAAACTTTATATAAAGCTTTCTTCTTAAAATTAATATCATTTGACAGATAATTTATTTAATACTCTAGATTAAATTCTAGAAGTTTGATCATTTTATAAATTAAATTATAAATTAGTGACAAACAAATTAATGTTTTTTTCAAATAACCAACATTTTTAATGCATACAATTTTTTTATTAAAATGAAATATTTAAACTTTCAAATTTTCATTATAAAAATGGAAAACATAAATAACTGAATACATTCATTAATGTAAAATAAAGTTAAATATGTCTTTAAATATAAAACAGTTATTGAGTTTACAAATTTTTTTAATACTGATAAATACTTTTGTTCAATCTTTGCTTTAAAATTTGTTTGTTAAAAAATTGGATACAAACAATGAACCATAGCAAAGTATAGTTTGGAAAATCATTTTCCGTGTTATGAACAATACTCATGAAATTTTATAAATATTAAAACACTTGTTTTAAAAATGATAAAGTATAATTATAAAGTCATATAAAATATACTGTAAAAAAAAATAATAATCAACATTTAATATACTTTCTAATATCATTTCTAAACTTGGAAGCAGATGTGATCTAGGCAATAACTAGGATACATTATCACATTGCACTATTTTATTCAGATTTTGGATTTTCGAAATAATTAGCTGGATTTATTTCTTCTGCACTGCATAAAACTATATCTTCAAACTTATAGTTATGTATATCCACAAACTGATTAGTCCAATTATGATTTGCAGCAGACTCAAGTGTACAACGTGCAGAGGGATCTGGATTTAGAAGCCAAGTTATTAACGACATTAAATCTTGAGATACTTGGAATGGTGGCTGTAACACTGCAGCTATGGTTTCATCGACATCAAAGAAAGGATTTTCTCCAAATATAAGTGTGTATAATGTCACACCCAATGCCCACATTTCTAATTCTGGACCAGCATATTTATTTCCTTTCAAGACTTCAGGACTGCAATATTCCATAGTGCCACAAAAAGTTGAAAAATAATGGCCTTCTTGCATAAATGCTGCTGACCCAAAATCAATAAGTTTAACGTGAAAATGATGATCCATTATAATATTTTCGTCTTTTATGTCACGATGCAGAATATTGCGATTATGCAGATAAACAAGTGCAGACACAACTTGTCTGAATATGTAACTGGCCAATGGCTCATCTAGACTAGGACTACGATCAACAAATTCAAAGAGATCCATTCCTGATCCATGTTTTTCCATAACCATTTGAAAATAATCATCATTTTCTAATACATCAATAACTTCAACAATGTTTGGATGTTTTAGTGTTATTAACAAACTAATTTCTAATGGAACCTCTTTCTCCATGACAGAATTATATGCCCAGCATTCTGGATACACTGTGGATTTCCTTATAAATTTGGTTACTACTAATAATTTATCTGAATTTCTGTAAGCCATTTTCACACATCCAAATGCTCCTTTACCAATTTGTTGTAATATAGTATAGTCTTGAAAATAAGCACCAGAAGTATAAACAGAATCATTTACTTCAGATCCAGTATAATCTGCATTACAAGAAAGATTTCCTTTTTCTGTTAATGATGATCCTAAAACAGATTTAGATGGCTCAATAGTAAATCCACTCATACTACTCACACTGGTATCTAACAAATTGCAAAAATGGCCTTCATTTGTTTCCTCATCTCTAGATACCCATAAACAATATACCACTTGTCCATTATCTAATTCTATACGTCGTATTTGATAAGTAATTGCTAACTTACAGCCATCTCTATGCTTTCCTAAACCAAAATAATTTCCTTCTGGAAAACTATGTAATGATTCATTGCTTATATGCTTATTCTCTATTAGAGTCAACTTGTCAATTAATGATTCTCTTGGAGTTGAGGTAATTGTCATTGAAATACTAGTACATTCTTTTAGTGTGGGTTCTGATCGAGATCTGTTTGGATTTTCTTCTTTCTTAGAATATAATTCTTCACTTCTATGATTATCTTGGAAAATATTTTGTGCATAGTTAACACCATCAGTTTCAGATTCACAGTATATATGCTTTGGATTGACTTCTAAATGAGATGTGCAAGCAATATTATCATTTATATCACTTTCTACATGAGATTGCAGAGTACATTGTCCCTCATTATATTTTACTTTATCAGGACTATTTTCAATTTTGTTTTCCCACAAATGCATTTTATTCTGTAACAATTCAGCATTTTCAGAAGAAAAGGAACAAGTGGAATAATTTTGACTTGGTGAACAGGAACTATTAAGAGTGAGGCAATGAAATGCATCTATTGAACTTTCAATTGCCAATTCTACTTGTTTACCAATAGGATTCATAGGTCGTGATTCCATGTTCAAAGAATCTGCAGTTATACGCCCATCAGAAATACAATTTATACGAGAATCATCATCATCATCATCTTCCTCTTCATCGTCATCAAGCGGAGGAAGAGGAATCGAATCAGTGTCCAAGAATTCAAGATCATCATAAAAACTAGGAATCAACACAGTAATGTTTTTTCCAATTAACTCTTCTTGTGAAAATCCAAATAACATTTGTGAAAAGTTAGTATTACAGCTATGTATTGTGCCATTTGGAAGTATAGTTATCATACCACTTATATTTGCAAAAACCCAAATTACTCCACTATATATTACATTTGCTAATACCTTATCATCTGAAATATCATTACTGTTATCACATTCATGCTTAAACATTACAGTCAATGGAAAATATGCTCCATTACGAGTTCGGCCCGAAGCTTCTATCTTTTTCATACCGTTTGATGTTTTATCTTGAGTATTCAATAATGGAAGAGATAAAGACGGAATGAGTTGTATAATATTAAGTTCTTTTAGTTCTTCTGGAGTCGTATAAGCAAACAACATGGACATAGTAGTATCGCACGCAATTATTTTTCCATCCGAACCGACCGAAAATTTAGCAACTGTGCGCTCAACCGGTTCCATAACAACTAAGCAACGAAGTTCTTCTTTAGACGATAACTTTTTCATCCAAACCGAAACAGGCATCGTTTCTTTATAAGAATTAATCAGTTCCATCACTTTTCCTGAGATAATGACAACTTCTCCAGTTGATTCTAATTGAGTCTCCTTAGCTAAATAGTATCCATTTCCAAATGTTAAATAATTGCATAAACGTTTTCCGATTAATTTAAATTCACTCAGACCTAACAATTGACAAGCAGTTTTGTTGGCTACAAGAATTTCGGTTGTTCTGTTGTTAATAGTTAAGACTGCCTTATTTGGATTCTGGATACATGCGGCAAAGGATATATTTGGTTGAGTTCCGACGTAATTATAAAACACCCAACTACTACTAAGAGAACGAATGTGATCATTGGAATGTGAATAGCTTCCTTTCTTCTGCGAATATGAATAACAAAAAGAATATAGACTATCTCCTTTAAACTTTTCTAAAGGACTTATATCATCAGGATCTGGAGTCTTGCAAGAAGAATGCACAAGTTTAAAACTTTCTTTGGATTCTGTTTCATTGATCACTCCCATCTGACGTTTGGTTCTAATCCTATCCAAAGGAGAAGGATAAAGATTCGATCCGTAAGGATCTTTGCTTTTTAAACCGTTCTTACTTCCATTTTTCCATACAAACTGTCCTCTTTTGGGAGAACTGTAATCTAACGAATGATTCAATGGAACGTTTTTTTGTTGAGGGATGACGTTTTGGTAAGTGCTAGATGCTGACGATATCACCTTCTCTTCCATAACTAAATTTAATGATGTTTGGGTGGGTTAAAAGAAAGACAAATCACATTTTAAACAAAGGACCTAAGCCAGAGGGTTAAACCGCCACAGTCACATCAGTAGTTCGAATGAAAATGAAACAGCGACATCTGACGTTTCTTCTTCGTTTTTATTTTTATTTATTTATTATTATTATATTTGTTTAGTTTTTTCTTCAAACTATTTTAAAACAAAAATCTATTTTAAACATTTCTGCACTATTTTATTCAGATTTTGGATTTTCGAAATAATTAGCTGGATTTATTTCTTCTGCACTGCATAAAACTATATCTTCAAACTTATAGTTATGTATATCCACAAACTGATTAGTCCAATTATGATTTGCAGCAGACTCAAGTGTACAACGTGCAGAGGGATCTGGATTTAGAAGCCAAGTTATTAACGACATTAAATCTTGAGATACTTGGAATGGTGGCTGTAACACTGCAGCTATGGTTTCATCGANGTTTCTTTATAAGAATTAATCAGTTCCATCACTTTTCCTGAGATAATGACAACTTCTCCAGTTGATTCTAATTGAGTCTCCTTAGCTAAATAGTATCCATTTCCAAATGTTAAATAATTGCATAAACGTTTTCCGATTAATTTAAATTCACTCAGACCTAACAATTGACAAGCAGTTTTGTTGGCTACAAGAATTTCGGTTGTTCTGTTGTTAATAGTTAAGACTGCCTTATTTGGATTCTGGATACATGCGGCAAAGGATATATTTGGTTGAGTTCCGACGTAATTATAAAACACCCAACTACTACTAAGAGAACGAATGTGATCATTGGAATGTGAATAGCTTCCTTTCTTCTGCGAATATGAATAACAAAAAGAATATAGACTATCTCCTTTAAACTTTTCTAAAGGACTTATATCATCAGGATCTGGAGTCTTGCAAGAAGAATGCACAAGTTTAAAACTTTCTTTGGATTCTGTTTCATTGATCACTCCCATCTGACGTTTGGTTCTAATCCTATCCAAAGGAGAAGGATAAAGATTCGATCCGTAAGGATCTTTGCTTTTTAAACCGTTCTTACTTCCATTTTTCCATACAAACTGTCCTCTTTTGGGAGAACTGTAATCTAACGAATGATTCAATGGAACGTTTTTTTGTTGAGGGATGACGTTTTGGTAAGTGCTAGATGCTGACGATATCACCTTCTCTTCCATAACTAAATTTAATGATGTTTGGGTGGGTTAAAAGAAAGACAAATCACATTTTAAACAAAGGACCTAAGCCAGACGGTTAAACCGCCACAGTCACATCAGTAGTTCGAATGAAAATGAAACAGCGACATCTGACGTTTCTTCTTCGTTTTTATTTTTATTTATTTATTATTATTATATTTGTTTAGTTTTTTCTTCAAACTATTTTAAAACAAAAATCTATTTTAAACATTTCGTGTTATAAAAACTAAAACTAATTTCTGAAAATAATTTTAGATAAGTACTTTCGATAATTTTAAATTAAAATTCTTTATGATAATATTTCATTAAAATTGTTTTCATTTCTTCAATTATTTTCAAAGTTTTAATGAATTCAGAAATATTTTATTAATATCGTAATATAATACATTTTTCAAATATTTGTAAGATTATAAAATATTACTGTTTTTAATCTCTACATACAAATACTTCGAAAATAAACAAGCTTGGAATTTTCTAAAACAAATATTTATAAATTATAAATTTTATAACTTGTAATTTGAATATTTTATTAAATATTCAAATTACTTTGAAATAAAAAAATAACATTAATTTTAAATTAAATTTTTATTTTATTTTGACATTTCAATTTTGATTTTTTCCAGTTAATTTCACCATGGGTTAAGAACACTGCGTTTTTTTTTCTTCTTTTTTATTTATTCCGCCCTGTAAGCACTAAGAGGGTTTTTCTTTATCAAGCCTGTCGTAGGTTCGGCTAGGCCCCCAATGGAGCGGCTGAGCGATGAGGGATAAGGCTTAACTTATCCGGAATGAACAAAGTTCCAGGGATTTTCGACCCCATCGGATTCGTTCCAGGGTCCTCCAAAGCGGCAGGCTGACACCTTAATCGTGCTACAATGCTAACTAACTGTGACGGCCATCCGACTGTCACGGTTAGTTAGCATTGTAGCACGGTATTTAGTTAGCATTATTTACCGGTCTAACGATAATAAACGGACGGCCGGTGCCGAGGCAGTAAGGCGTCGGCGTATCGTTCTAGAGAACCGAATCCAGACGAGCAATCCTAGAAAAATTTTCATAGGCAGTCTATCAAAGATATGTCGAGTTCCTCATTGTGGACATGAATTCATGATGAATATGATTAACACTAGCATAGAATTTTTGTCAGTAGCAGTTTGCTTTTTTTTTTCAAAAAAGTGTGAACAGCTCATTTTCACATTCAGTTTACACATAATTAAAGTTTTAACTGTCGATTCACTCATTCTACCTCTTTCCTGAGATCAAACATTATATTATTGATCACCGAGAATACTCGTTCAACGGGAGCAGAAGTTTCCAGCTGGCAGAAAATATATTCCATAATTTGGCTCAGATTTTTTATCGAAATATTTTGATCCTTAAAATATTTAAAAAACTGAATTCATTTTTTTTCTCAAGATAAATCCTTCCATGTTTTCCAGTTCGCTGTACAAATTTTTTTTGCATTAACACTTCATCGAACATTGCATCTAAATTTATAACATTATTTCCAAATACAGTAAAACCTGTCTATGGCGACCACTCACGGTTCCTTCAAAAAGTGGTCTTTTAGACAGGTGATCGTCCAATACAGGTGCTGCTGTAATACCGTATTTCCATACGTATTTTGAGCACATTTTAGCCATTTCTACTAAGCAAAACTCGAGGTGAGCAAAAATAAGCGAATTTTTTCAACGATAGAACGATAGAGCTATATATTTGTATTGTATTATAATTATTCTTATCGGATAACTCGATTTACAGGAGTGGTCGTGATTTTATAAGACAAATTTAATACCAATATTTTAAAGATTAATACAATACTCGCATTTTCTCGATTATAATGCACACTTTCATTTTTCCGACTTAATTAATTCAAATTGGCGTAAAATTGAGTGTGGAGCTAAACTTAAGCATTTTAAAATATAACAGTTATATATATTAATACCGTATGTACGCACAATTTTGAATTTAAAGGTTGAAAGTTACGTGATTTGTCATTAATAACGTCTGTAATGCAAAATCTATCAAAATGTAGTATTATGCGAGCCACAGAAAAATAATATTAATTAAGCTCAAAGGGTCAAAGATAAAAAAAGGTTGAGAAACATTGGTTTAAATCAGGGCTTCTTAAACTTTTTTTATTCACGACCCCATTTATGATTGTGATTTTTTTCGCGACCCCCCAAAATATATATAAAATAAAGATACTGTATATGTTACCGCTAAAGCTCGAAATCCGTTAATGTGTACATAACCTAGCTAATCTGCAGATTAACTAGGGTGATCCGTTAAAGCTGCGAAAATTGTTCAATTTCTCAAATTACCTAGGTAATTTGCAGAGTATCTAGGTAATCTGCACATTAACGGCTTCCGTATCGTTAAAGTTCAAAAGTTTGTTTCTTTCACTTCCTTTCCCCACTCCTTCTTTTTACGTAGATAAATTTAAATCCTAGAATGCAAGCAAGCACCGAATTGGTGAGTAAAATCAAGAAAAGATTCTTCGCAAACCTCTTTAGCGAAGATTTAAAATATAATACGTAGTGTTTTAATAACAAACCAAAGTATGATTCCATAATTGAAGATGTAAAGCAAATAAAAGTTTCCAAGAAGAAAGAATCATCTCGAGATTATCAAATAATTCAAAGGTGTGATGTGTTGACTGTACGAGGCTGTGAAAAACTCATTGAGCCGTTGTCAGATGCGCGAGAAAGGTTTGAAAAAGTTTGTCCATGCCGGAGAATTGTTTGACATTCGATAAAAACTGAAGAAGACCTTGAAAAATTAGAAGATTCACAAGAGACTGTGATTATGAGATCACAGTCAAATCTTACTCAAGAGGACATTCCGTTATCCCCCGCTTCTACAGAATCACCTATAGAAATACAAGAATTTACCGATAGTAATCTTAAACTGCCTTCTATACCGTTGATTGATGATGCAGTCACGAAGAATATTCAGTTACCCTGCACCTCCAAGGAATCGCCTCTGCAAGTTGAAGAAGTCATCACTGAGTTACTCTCAACTTCAGCAGAATCGCCATCACAGTTTCGTACGGAGCCTGTAAAGAGCACTATACAAGACATAGTCTGTATTGTTTGCTCAAAAGCAGCATCAAGTGCTCACAAGTGTAAATCGTGTAATATGTTTGTTCACGCAGTTTGTGGTGAAGTAGATCCTAAAGAGGAAGGGTATGGTAAGAATGTATTGTGCATCATCTGTAAAAAGAATATGGATCAGAAAATACAGCGTGATGAAGCCAAGAAATGTTTAGAAAAGCAAGCAAAGAAAATGTTAGCAGTTTCTAATGCAAAGCACCCAAACGTCGATGAAGGTTTCGCTGTGAGAATTAAAGTACCCGAAGAAGACAGAGCAAAAACTGATGCACGTTCAATTTTAGCTGTGGTTCTTAGTAAAACAGAGGATGGCTTTTATAAACTTGATACTAAAACAGGTATTTTAAAACAATTGTATGCAAAATCTGAATTCAGTGTTTGCAAAGAGAGATTTTTAACGAAAGAAGATGGATGTCCCTGCTGTAGAAATATCTTTACGTCAAACAGCAATAAAACAATCCCTTGGTACTGGGCAGGGTTTCAGAAAATGTGACTGCAAATCTAAATGTACCACAAATAGGCGTGCTTGTCGCAAAAACCAATTGCTACGTAATTCAAAGTGTCACCAATCTTTAGATTGCACTAATAAGTAAGTACAATTTTATCATATGTTTTGCAAATTCATTTCCCTAATTGTAGTAATATTTTAAACCGTTTGATTTTTGTATTAAAGTTTTTTTAATTGATTGATGATTGATTCAATCAACTAATTTGTTGATTGTATTAACTTGATTCTTTAGATATTGAAAATTAAATAAATAACATTATGTTAATTTAAGCGTACAGAAACGTTGCTGTTGTTCCAGCAAAAATCTTATTTTCACTTTACCGAGTGCCTAGTAGGTAATTTGCAGATTACCTAGAAAATCTGAACATTACCTAGGTAATTTGAGAAATGGAATAATTTTCGCAGCTTTAACGGATCACTCTAGTTAATCTGCAGATTAGCTAGGTAATGCGCACATTAACGGATTTCGAGCTTTAGCGGTAACATATATACAAATTTGCAGAAACAATAATGGTGTACTACCACAGTTCACTCTTGTGTTACAATGGAACAAAGACAACTGAATACACTGAAAAGCGACAATATTACACTAGTTCACACTACAATCAGTGTTGCTGAATCGTTGTCTCGCTGCACCAGAAATGATAACAACACGCAACTCACGAAACCTATGACACAAAGCGTGCCATTTTCAAACTCTCACAAATTATTTTCAATATTTTGCATTAAAATCTCGCGACCCCAAGATTTCGCTAGGCGACCCCAAATGGGGTCGCGACCCATAGTTTAAGAAGCCCTGGTTTAAATTATACTGAAATGGAATTTTACACGAGACATTATAATTTATTTATATTTGTATTATTCTAAATGTACATTTGTTCTTATGAACCAATTTTATACGCAGTGTAAAAGATAGGTCTATTTTAACAACTAAGGAAAATTATGAATATAAACCAGTATTCCTCGTTGCGCTTCTGTCTTTTGCTAGACACATATACTATAATTAGTTATGTTTTAATGCAATTATCAAGTAAATTAGAGAATAAAGGCAGTCCCTCATTTTCATACACAATGCATTCCTACAAATATATATGAAATTCGAATGTCCAAAAATCGAACAACAGAGTAATATGTTATTCAGAGTTCCGTTTCCAGAGAGAGAAACCGAAAAATTACAAAAATTTTTTATTTACTGTTACAAAATAAGTGCCGATAGCTATAAACATATTAATAATTTTTCTTATTGTACTTAAGAAAATATTAAAAATTAAAAAAAAAATACAATATTTTTAAAGTTAAAATAAGATTAAACTAACGAAAACGAAAACCAAAGTGATAGAGAGATACGACGCGCTTGTATATCGATGACGTAATACACGTAACCGAGAAGTTAAAAGAACCAAGTTGAGAGGCGAACAAATGCTGGTGCTAAATTTAAGTTTCATATTATATGCATTCTATCATTCTATATATGTAGATGCAATAGATTTATATTTTAATAGTAAAGTCTTTCGAAAAAAAAAAAAAAATGAAATTGACATACTGTGTACACGTGCAAGATTCGACATGCCATCGTTTACAGGGAACAATTATATTGTATGATAACGAATAAAACAATTTATGTTCAAAAGTTCTTCGTGTATTTTATTTAAACATAACATTTGTATAATTTGCATATATTTAAGTAATAATTTACTTATTGAAGTTTAATCGTTTTCATATAATTTTAATATTTTATTCTCACTGTGGCCTCCTAGAGTTTGCTCTGATTTCCCAAAAATTGAATTTTGGTCTGTAGTTCTAAGGGGCCGGTTGAGAAACACTGATTTACAGGAAGGTGACTGTTTTACATCCTCCCAAACAGCATACATATATATCTCCATACATATCCTCACGCTCGTAATCCAAAAAGGGTTGCCGGATGGCCGAGCAGTCAAGATGGCAGCCTACTACTCTGGATCCGGAACCGAATTTCGGACGTGTCAAAAACCCCAGAAATTTTTTGGGGGTGATCCGACCAACTATGTCAGCCCCCATCCCTCACTATCTGTGGGCCTGACTAAACCCATAACGGGCATGCTAAAAGAGGCCCCCCTTAATGCCTACAAGGCGGAAAGAATTTAAAAGAAACCAAAAAGGACGAACAGCAGACTACAATTTTAAAAACTACTGTATATTCTGAAACAGCTCTTCTTATTATTCTAAGTATACAAATACTGTAAACTTAAATTTTTGTACGATAAATTAGAATCTAATTTTGCATAATTGTTTATAAAAATTCATCAATACAAGATTTTGTTTTAAATTTAAATTTCATACGTCGTGGATTCTAAACGTGAAAAAGCAAACAAAAAAGTCTTAACGATTTTCTTAAAACGATACATTATATTATTTTTAAAGTTTTTTATTTTACCTCTTAAATAATAAAATAAAATAAAAATTATAATATTTGATTTAAAAATTAAAATTGAAAATAAATAATTTTTTTAAATTTAAAACGAAAATAAAGTTTCTGTAGGTGGCGTTGTCATCAGCCGATGCCGAGTAAGCTGATTTGAAAGGAAGGAATCGTTTGGAGGAATAAAAAATGTCTTCAGAAAGATATAGTTTTTCTTTGACTACTTTCAGGTAAATAAAGCAAAAGTGTATTTAATAATGTATTTTAATGTAGTGATATCTTTTAATATTATATTTAAAAGCAATTTTTATAAATTTGCTGAATCATTAACAACTTATATTGAATCAGAAGTTTTAAAAATGAACAAATTATTTGCTTTCCGTTGAAGATATATGATATGTATTCGTAATTTACGAACAACAAAGCACGTAGACAATAATTCTATTAAATACAAAATATACGTGGGCTGTTCAAAAAGTTTCGGACCTTTGGTCGGCAAAAATACATTTATTGATTTTGAGGTACAAAACCCTAATCCCCTTCAAAGTAGTCTTCTTGGTAGTGTATACACTTCACCCAGTGTTCCTGCCATTGCTGGAAACACCACTGGAACACGTCTTTTGGAATGGCCATCAGCCGGACCGTCGCATTTCGCATGATGTCTTCTCTCGACTAAAATCGGGTTCCTTTTAGCGGCATTTTCAGCTTGGGAAATAGCCAAAAGTCACACGGAGCCATGTGGGGAGAGTACGGAGTGTGACGAACCACAGGAGTGTTGTGTTTGGCGACGAAAGCCCGAATCAGATGCGCAGGATGCGTTATCACGATGGAGCTGCCAAGTTTTGATCGACCACAGATCCGGTCGTTTCCGTCGCACAGCATCGAAAAGATGATGAAGGACCTCCTGGTAGTACTCCTTTGCGATGATTTGGCCTTGTGGTGCATACTCATGATACACCACCCCATGAGAGTCGAAAAAACTGTCAACATGACCTTGATATTGTTGCGGACCTGCTGCGCTTTTTTGGCCTTGAGGATCGTCCCTGAAAGCCTGCTGAATCTTGCGAATGGTTTACACTTGAGTATCGCCAAGGTTTTTGGCAAAATTTGATGTAATATTGCTGCTTATGTTGTTCAGTTATTTTCCAACTTAGCAGAATCTGACGAGAGCTCACTACATATCCTCACTCATAGGCCGACTGCCAACGACTGACGCTTCCTGCAGGTGGGGAAAAATTCAGGGCTGTGCATGACTGTCCCCTCCACAACTCCATCGAAAGAGGCCTCCCACGCATCATTGGTTTATGCGGAAAAAATAAAAGTCTGATACTTTTTGAACAGACCTCATACAATTGGTTAATTCAAATATAGACCTGTATATTTAATAGAAATTATGGTTAATATTAATAATCACATTAGGTTACAAATTTATTGTAATATTTCATGTAATACCATTACAGAAATTAAAATATTGTGAAAATGCAGCCAGTTTCTTGTTGCAAGATTTAGATATGATTTCATTTGATAGTATTCGTACAACCTGTTCTATGGTCTATGTATGAGACCTAGGTAGAAAGAAGGCAACAAGTGTGAATGTGTGTACCCTCCATGCTTTCTCGTTGAGATCACGTGACAGTAAGATTTTGACTCTGAATGAAGGGTTTCCCAGAACTGTACAAGCAAAAAAGTCAAAAGGAAGCATATCTGTATATGCACCCCTTCACAAGATATTTGCTTCCAAAGATCAGTTTTTCCTGTGTACCGGTATACTGCCTAGTCTCCATGTTCCTGTGTCATTGAGGCTCGCTATTGCTTGCCTTGATCAATGCTCTGCATGTAGTTGTACTCTTCGGTGCCTGCTATCACGTGCACCTCGGCATCCAGGTGGAGGCGAGCCTCTTTTTCTTTTTTTTTTCTTTCTATCTTATTAATATGGAGACTCTAGCCTATTGGCTTTTTCTCCGAATTACTCCACTTGGAATTAGGTAAAGCGGTTGGTGCGGTGAACGAAACGCTCCAAGATTTCAATATGTTGGCGAGGAGAAAGGTCGGTATGAGGCCAGTATATCGGAGTTAAGCCTCAGACTACCTAAAACTATATAACATCAAATATTTCACGAATAGTCGAGTGGGTTATTCAAATCCGGCATAGTTGTGTGGGCTAAGCCTAAACTACGAATAAGTAAAAAATAAAAACAAGATGTTTCAGATTCACTTGTGGCTTCAAGGACTGCTTCCTATTAAACTTTTCACAAATACTACCAGAAGGCAAAAGACCAAATTTTACATCCAAAGAAATCCTTTCATCTAAGCCTAATTCTTTTTATTCACCATGCAATAGCATAACAAGGTTTACAATTGTGCAAATATGCCAGCAGATATACATATCTATAATTTACTTTGAAAAAAATCACGAATAAAAACTTCAGTCTCACACATGGCTTATTGTTAAATTTGGCACTGCTGCAATCACTGCTGAAAGTGCATGCAGAGCAGCACTGCGGTTTTAAAATGGTGGATCTCGGTGCAGCTGTTAAAATGTTTTGTAAATTATTTAATTTAAAACATTTTAAAAGTAATTCATTTTTGTGATGCAAGACTTTGTTTGAGAGGTAAAATTAATGATTTAAATTTAATGTATGCAGCTTCTTTCTGCAGCATAAAGTAGATAGTAAAACATTTTATTTTACAAATGAGTATTTTAAAAGAAAAAGTAGTACAAACAGAATAACAAATCAAGATGATCAAAACCTTACACTTTTATTGTCACATCATATAAGAAATCAACTTCACACATTTCCACTGTGGAGATAGCCATCTTGTTGCAGCAAGAAAAGCTACTGAAATGAGTGCTGCAGATTTAACCTCAAACCAGTGAGACTGCTGCGAAGATCACTGCACATAGTGTTTCAAGAAACTGCGTTTAGCAGCACTTAGTTTAACAACAGCACAACATAAAAACTCCACAGAAAAATAAAGTGCAATAAAATTATACTGCCACACACTTGCAGTAACCAACTCTGTATAATCAAGTGTATCTTGCATAGAGATACTATGCAAATTTAAAATAATTCATAACTTTCATGAACAAGATCTCATACAAGGAGAAGTAAGATGTAGATGAGGTTGTAGGTTTGTAAAATTCCATCAATTTGATTTTTCATTCTTTTAAAATGAAGATTATATGAAAATTGATGGTAAATACATGTATTATTTCAAGTAGAAAAATGGCAATATTACTTTCCTAGCTATTATAACAATATTGTAATTGTGTAACATTTGACTCATTGGCTTTTTGGAATTGCAACATTTTGAGACCCATGAATGCAAAACAGTCAAAAAACTGATATCCGGGATATGTATGTATGTGTTGGCATCTGTTTTTTTTTAATATCTCAGGATGGGAGAAGGTTAAGAAATGAAATTTGGCCTGGTAACTTGTAAGGGACATTAATGCTATTAAAATTTGGTTAAAGGTTGAAGGGGTGAGGAGATAGAGGGGGTTGTGTGTCATATCTTGAGTGTGGTTAGATTTAATGAAAATTTTATTTATTAAATTTACAATTTTTCAAAAAACTTATATCTACTCTCAAGCCTTATGTCTTTTTATAATAATTAATAATATAAAACTTATTTTTTAATGAAATGTCATAACAGATGGTATCACATACAATTTTAACATTGTGCTAATATGTCTTAAACATAAGTATTTTTTACCAAGAAAGTTACATGACTCATTGCTGGATTTTTTTCTTCTGCTTGGCATCATTATTGGGTTATAGGCAATCCAAATACAGTACAAGTAAAAAACTAAAAGGCACCATGGGTTCAGGAACAACCTTTCACAAAGGTTTCTTTATGTCTTTCTTCCTGATTTGACTAGAAAAAAACAGTTTTTTATTTTATTAAAGATTTCTCAACTATCTGCTGAAAGGAATTTATTAAATATATATTTTTTATATAGATTATAAATCAAGTGGACATCTGGCCAAATTCTGTACACAAGTAGATGCTATAAAGGATCCACTTGTGTACAAAGTTTGTCAGCAAATAACCTCATTTTGGGAATATACTTTGCTACATAAGCATTTTTAGTCACTTGTAAAGAAAACATAATTTTAAGTATTGTTTTAAAATACTTTTCCAAATTTTTGAATTTTAAATTTTCATTAATATTTGCAATTCATTCAGCAGTACAGTGAACAACTACTAGGGAATCATATCTCATGATGCTCCGGGACACATGGTTACTTTTGACTTTTTTCTTGTAGGGATGAGGAACAATTCTAACATGATGCCAATGTTATAAAAAAAAGAAAATTTTGCTGGAAAAATGATAATTTGCAGTAATTAATTTTGTTGCAAAATTTCAAATGCCTTAAGTTTTTATTATGTTATAGTAGATATAGTAAGTTTCAGTAATATGAAATTTCTCTGATATGCACTTTATTTTACAATATCAATATTTTGATATTTATAACAAAATAATAATATGAAGTTAGAAGTATTCAAATACTTAAGATTTATTATGTAGCTGTTCAAAACAAATTCAGATAGCTTGAAAGCTATCTGAATTTGTTTTGAAATAAGAGACATTTAATTGTGAAATAAAAGAAAATTGAAATTGATTTCCATTCAGAAAAAAAAAATTGAATATTCTTATCAATACGAAATATATTTGATGGTAGTTTTCTAAAACAGTTTTTTCAGATAAACAAATAGCTGAAGAAACTGTTGCAAAATACAATATATATTAAATTCTGAGAAGTGTTTGTTTTATGGTTTTTTAAACATAGTTTCAAAATTGTAAAAATGTATCATATGTCTTTCAGTTATAATAGAATGCTCATTTTACATTTATAATAAATTTGTTTTATAAATAAACTACAGAATTATGATGTAAAATATTAATATCAATTCTGCAACTCAAAAATTCTCTTACTTTTGCATAACTATAATAAAAGCAAAGACAAGAAAAGAAAACAGCAGATTTTTGGGTCGCAATTTGAAAAAATTGTACAGCCATAAATTGCCACTGTTGTCTTTCTGTAATCTCGAGACTGGAGTTAGATGAAAGACAAGACCAGATATGGAAACCTTAGGGGCAGGAGGCCCTAAATAACTATATGCAAACCAGGGACCATATTCTGGTCACTTATCTCTCGTTTCTTCTTTCACCGACGAATGACATCAAAGCAAGAGACGAAATTCGTCTCTTATACCCAGTGGCGATTCTGGTCGTTCGTAACAATCTTGTCTTTGTTGTTGACGTCACGATTCTATTCGGTTGATTATACATGTTCGGGTTATCTGCACACGCAATGCAGTATAGGATTTTAACCAATAAAATTGAAAATTTTTCGAAAATGTGGAGTATGTAATCATAAATCACGTGGAAAAGAAAGCACATAATTTCGACAAAGTTATGTTTTTTTTTTTTTTTTTTTTTTTTTTTTTTTTTTTTTTTTTTTTTTTTTTTTTTTTTTTTTTTTTTTTTTTTTTTTTTTTTTTTTTTTTTTTTTTTTTTTTTTTTTTTTTTTTTTTTTTTTTTTTTTTTTTTTTTTTTTTTTTTTTTTTTTTTTTTTTTTTTTTTTTTTTTTTTTTTTTTTTTTTTTTTTTTTTTTTTTTTTTTTTTTTTTTTTTTTTTTTTTTTTTTTTTTTTTTTTTTTTTTTTTTTTTTTTTTTTTTTTTTTTTTTTTGTTTTATAAAGTTTTTAGATTGTAATGTCAATTGTCTCTTAACAAATAAAAATTTTAATAACCTAAGTTAGAAAAGTGTGCATACTTAGATATTTTTTGAAATATTACCATCTAATTCTTAACTATCTAAGATTAACATCATATTCGATAGTTCAGTAATTGATGTAGGATAATTAAAAAAAAAAAAAAAAAACGGAATCAGTGACGTTTCCGAGTAGGCACTGGAAAAAGATCAGAAGCATTTTCTCTCTGGAAATATTCTTTCCCAAGTAGAGAACATTCTCTAATACGATTGTACAGCACGAGTAGCATCAAGTCATCCATATTGGATATAATGAAATCGAGGTGAAAGACGATTGACCAGTCGAAAGATAACTACCCGCTCGTCTCTGACAAACGAGAGAAGCGAAGAGAGAAAAAGTTGTCCAGAATCGTGTTTAGAGAGATGCAATGATCTCTCGAGACGTAAGCAAATGATTAGCCAATCAGTGAATGGCTTGTGAGAGAAGAGAGACGATGACCAGAATACAGCCCCTGAAGTCACGTTATTTCAATTCAAAACTTCCCCTGAAAGCTGTTTATAGATGACTGGCACAACTCAATTTCTAACAGAAAAGTATGATGTACAGGGGCAAGACACTATTAATTTGAAGGTGGAGAGCATATATTTTAAATTAAATAAATTAAAAATATGATTAAAAATTACAGCTCAGCATTGTGACGATGTCACAATAAATAATTGCTCATTTCAGTATAGTACTCAATTGAGAAATATATAAAAATTTAAAAATACTAGTTAAATTTTTATTTGCATTCATACTAATTAAATTATTTAGTTTTCATAAATTTCTATACTTTCAAATTACTTATAATTAGATATACAGTTTTAACATTAGTTTTGTATACTAACAATAATTAATCATTTTTCAGTCCTTCAGGAAAATTAGTGCAAATTGAATATGCCTTAGCAGCAGTTGCAGCTGGAGCACCTTCTGTGGGAATTAAAGGTAAATTCAACTCAACACTAAAAATAATTCTGATTTTATTCTAATAAGTCTTAAAATAACTCAAGTTTTGTATGAAAATCAAATTTTATTGTTGATAGCATCATGTTATATACTATCAAATCTTTAAGCTAGAATTTCATTTTTAAGTCATACAATTGGATAAATATAGGACTTATCATACTTAGTTTTGCTGTCTAAAAGAACAGCAAAACTAATCACATAGAATTGTCATTGCAGAATGCATTTCAGATCAAGACTTCTCTTCAGCTACTGACAATCTGTTAAAATACTTATCCTGAGTAAAGTCACATGAAAATTAAATAAATTTAGTATAATATTAACATATGAAAAAGTAATGAAGAAAAATTTGTTCTAAATTTATAAAATTGTGTGATTTAAGAAGTACAACAATCATTTAGGACAAGAAGCTTTAAGCTTCTTGTATGGTATTATTAAATAAACAAAATTAGATTAAATAAGAAAAGAATGATTAGCAAGCATTTGATAATTCTTAATCTTAAGTTAGAGTTTCAGTTTTAATTAAAAATGAAACTCTAACTTAAGATTTGATTTCAAAATTTAGTACAGTAATACTCCGAACTTACTCAATAGGTGGGATCGAGCGGTAACTGCGTAAGTCGAATTCGTGTAAGTTGAGGTATAGTTTCGCATATAAATACATACAAATAATTTTTAATTGGGACCAGAGACTAAAGAAAACAATAATTTAGAAAAAAAATGTTTAATAAAATCTTAGATAATACATATGTATAACAAATTAGGCCTATATTATTTTACAGTTTTTCACATTTACTTGATTATCACGCCATAATTTTAACATTGTTTCCATCTCAGCGATAATTCCGTGACATTTACGAATGATGCTTGAATTTAAAGATTGAGCATTTTTCACAGCTTAAGAATTTTTTCTTTGCCTTTTATAATTGTTCTGACCGACAATTCTGGTAGATCAAACTTCTTTGCCAATTCACAAATTTTCATTTTTGTATCGAAGTCTTTAATAATGGGTATGTTCGTAAAGTTAAACGCGTTAGTAACGAATCATTCGAAAAGTCTAACGAAATAGGAATAACGATGATGTCATTCTCGTTTAACTCGTTCGACTTTACGAGCATACCCAATGTTAACTTTACATTCCAAAGATAAAGTTTTTCTTTTCTTGTTTGATGCAGAAGAATTAGTTCTACTTCGTTTGGATGACATAGTAGCGTCTTTCAAGTCTCCGAAGATATAACAAACACAAAATAAATTGTAGCTATGTGTCAATTCCGTGCGACACATCCAAACATGTAAGCTGAACAATAGTGTGGGGGAAGTGAGTAATCAAGGGTTGCTTGGTGCTCAAACAAAAGACGAATCGATGAGATTTGAAAATCGCATAACTCCGCGTAAGTTGAGGTATTACTGTATTTGAATAATGTTGTTATGCTTAACATCAATAAATGGTTTTCATGCATTTTGTCTAGAGTTAAGAATTGTTAAATGCTTGCTAATCATTCTTTTCTTATTTAATCTAATTTTGTCTATTTAATAATACCATAATGTTTTAATTAATTTTTTGTTTTGATTTTCATTATAATTAAAAAAATTTAGCTAATAATAATTTTTTATTTTATTAATTTATAACTTAATAAAATAAAATTGAAGACAGTCTGCCCAAAAAGGACCACCATTTATTATTTCTGTGTTGCAGAATTATTCTTGAACAATTATTCCCACTGTCGTTCATCTGTGTCTGTCCTTCCTTAATTTCAAGAACAAAGTTAGTTAGATAAAAGTCAAGACCAGATATGCAAAGATTAAGGGCAGGAGGCCCTGATTAACTATATATGACATTTTTTATGTTGATTTGAAACTGTGTTTTGCAAATATATTGGACTTCGAACTCACATTTGAGTTATGAATAAACACTTGGCTTTATTTCCATCATTTTTAGTTGATATGTGACAACAGCACATTTTAGGCATAAAGCCCCTCATCAGTCAACATATCCATTTTTAATCTGTTATACATACAAGGTCTTAATTGGCGCACACAACTTATTTTACAATAAGTGGAGTAATTTCATTAAAATTTGTTATAAATGATCTTTTATGTATTTGACAGTATCCAGGAGTCTTAGACATAATCACATACACATCTCAAAATACAATTTTTTACATTAAAAATTGTCTAGTTCTATTTTTTACATTTAAAATTGTTTATTTCTATTTTTTTACATTAAAAATTGTCTATTTCTATTTTGAGATGTGTGTGTGATTTACATATATGTGATAGACAATTTTTTACATTAAAAATTGTCTACTTCTATTTTGAATTGTGTATGTGATTTACATATATGTGATAGACAATTTTTTACATTAAAAATTGTCTACTTCTATTTTGAATTGTGTATGTGATTTACATATATGTGATAGACAATTTTTTACATTAAAAATTGTCTATTTCTATTTTGAGATGTGTATGTGATTATGTCTAAGACTCCTGGATTAAAAATGATTAAAAATGGATATGTTGACTGCTGAGGGGCTTTATGCCCAAAACGTGCTGTTGTCACGTATCAACTAAAAATGATGGAATTAAAGCCAAGTGTTTATTTATAACTCAAATGTGAGTTCAAAGTCCAATATATATGACATTCCTATTTGCATCAGAAGTCATGTTATTTCAATTCAATAATTTTTTCTAAAAGTAGTTACTTAGATAACCAGCAAAACTCTATTGCTAACAAGAAAAGTATGGTGTACAAGGGCAAGACACTAATAATTTGAGGTGGAGAGCATATATTTTAAATTAAGCTAATTAAAAATATTATTAAGCGAACAACAATAATAAAAAAAAACTTCAAATATTAAATGAGCAATTATTGTGACGATGTCACAATAAATAATTGCTCGTTTAATATTTGAAGTATTTTATATGATGTGATTGAAATTATTTCTTCACAAAAAGAAATAAATTTCTTATATTTTCATTTAGTTCATTAATTATAACTATAGTATAAAATAATTAAAAGAGAATTTTTTTGATAAATATATATTAAAATTTTTCTTGCAGCTGCTAATGGAGTTGTGTTAGCTACTGAAAAAAAGCATAAATCTGTTTTATATGAAGAACACAGTATTTATAAAATTGAAATGGTAACTAATCATATTGGCATGGTCTACAGTGGAATGGGACCTGACTACAGAGTATTAGTTACACAAGCTAGGAAGATTGCCCAACAATATTTGATGATGTATGATGAACCAATACCTACAGCTCAATTAGTTCAAAAAGTTGCTTATATTATGCAAGAATATACACAATCAGGGTAAAAAATTATTTATCTATTGATGTAAAATTAATAAATTTAGATTTTATTGATATAATAAAATACAGTCAAACTTGCTTTAAGAACAAATTTTGAACTCATTTTTGTCCTGGTTGCCACAAGCTACTCAGCAGAGTCAGCCATAGATGGTCAACTTTCTATATTTCCTATGTTAAAGAAAGTTGACAGCTCAACCAATCAACAACAGGACTACTGATTCAGAAATTAGTGGCACATCAACTGTCTCATGTCACAATACAAATCAACAATGACATTGCTATTTAAATTAATAAAAACGACATTAATTGACATTCAGGTAATATAAATGGCATTCAAGAATTAGTGTTTAAATATGCTTAAGCTAAATTAAATGACAAAAGTTTAATATAATATAATATATATTATAATAATAATAATTTATTTATTAATACTAGGTAGCCAAGTAATTAAAGCTAAAAATAATAATTAAAACTGGCCTTTACATTAAAAATAAAATTAAAATTGAAATCAAATGAATCAAAACATAATATTTGAGAATGTGGGGATAAAATACTTGTTATTTTTTTCTTGCAGCTGCTAATGGAGTTGTGCTAGCTATTGAAAAAAAGCATAAATCAGGTTAATTTGGTTATATTTCAAACAGGCAGTCAGAGTTTCGGTTGGCAGTGAGGGAGCATTCTGCTTTTAATATATATACAGAATAAATAGAGATAAAATAATAATATATATATAAAATTATATTGCCTTTATAGGCATTTTTATGCATGAAATACAACTTTAAAAAATGTTTTGTATTGAGAGTTGGGAATGGATTAATCCATTTTATATTGTTTCTTATAAGAAAATTTGTTTCAGTTTTTAGAACAAATCAATTTTTGAACAACTTTTAGGAACAAATTAAGTTCAAAACCCAAGGTTTGACTGGAAGAACAGAAAGTTCACTGAGTTCAGCATTATAAGTACATTTTTATCACAAGTACTTTCAACAAATTTATAATTGTTGTCATCAGGCAAATAAATGTTTTAACCACTCAGCAGTGGCAACGACTATAGTCGTCCCTCACCACTGCCACAAATTCTTTTGGGTGGTATCGCCAAAAACTAGTCTAAAACTACCACGAAAAAATTCACATAAAAAATAAATTATGTAACAATAAAAAAAGACAGTTATTTCCAAAGGCATAACTGTTTTGGAAAAAACAGTTATGCCTTTTCTAGGCATAACTGTTTTTTCCAAAACAGTAATGAGAAAAATACTTTAAAAATTTCCCACGTTTATTCTCCATTACTGGGGGTAGAATCATACCCAACTAGTCTGCCGTTGAGAGGTTAAAATAACATACAGACCAACGACGATGATTATAAATTCGTCAGAAGTACTTGCGATAAAAAAGTACTTATAACGCTGAACTCAGTGAACTTTCTATACAATATTTGGCATGAGTAGCAATCTATAGTACACTAAGATTTGACTGTATTCTGACTAACATTAGTTTGAAATTCAATCACTGACAGCATTTCCATTCACACACACACTTATTTTATCAATGCCAAATTGAAATTGATGAAACTATATACTAATATCATATAATGATTATTGTAATTTTTAGGATTTTAAAATTTATTTAGTTGTGTGTGTTAATATGAGGGTATTAGATCTTAAAAGATTAAATACTGTAAGGTCTCTTTTTATGCAGATTATTTTTATGCAATTTTGAAGTTGTGCTGTTTGTATTTCATCCAAAAATTTCTTGGACAAGCATACATATAGGCTTGTTTAGGAAGCCCGCGTATAGACAGTCTCCAAAAATCGTGAAACGCTCAAAGCTCACTCCATTTGTTCGACTGACATATAACGTTTATGGATGTAAAGGACAGCTAGGTCTACCTTAATCGATTTAGTTCCTAGCAATTTTTGATATAAATGTAATTAAACAGAAAAAATACTTAAAACTAAAAAAAACGAAAGAAATGTGTTAATTTTGAAGAAAAAACTTCAAAGTTTAATTAACTTCCTTTGTCTTGCCCTTCTGTGAAATTTAACCGATGAGTCATTGTTTACACATCTGGATGACCTTGAACACAGCTGGAGTTGGATTTCCCCGGGCATTCTCATAGACATCGCAGGAGGACAAGGGTTTAAAGTAGGGTGAACACTAGCTGGCCGTATATTTTTAAATATTTTTAAAAAATTTGGAGACTTAAAAAATATTCCAAAAATTCAAAAAAAGTTTCAAAGCCTTAAGCACCGTGTTTTATGTAACGCTACGTAACCTGCCCGAGTTCACTCGGGGCAGGAACTAAAGGGGTTTTAATTAACTCTTCACATCCAGATGTCAGTGATTTGTTTTTTGAGTGAGCTTTTGCAATTCGGTGATTCCCCTTGTATTACTTTTCAATAAAATAAACTGAATTAAGTTTGAATACAAGTTTATTTTAAGCTTTTATATGAATTTCTTTCAGACACTCGAAGTAATTTATTAAGCAGCCTATTTCTTTTAATTTCTGCAAACTTTTTTATGCGGTTTTAAGTTAATTTTAACTCGTTGTTTTGGTTTTATGCGATTTTAGAAAATTACGGAATGTATCCCTACTTTTTCAAGGCAAGTAAAGTCTTTTTTTATGCGAATTTTCTATATGCGCTTTTCTGTAGAATATATCCACCGCATAAAACGAGACCTTACAGTACAGAGTATCAATAACATCTTGTGGCCATTTAAAATTTTTACATATCTATGAATTGTTTTGTTTTCTAAATCAGTTTGATATTTATAATTTCCAATAACATCTCAAAAGCACACTAAATAATACTTTTGCAGATATTTCAAAAATTAAGAAATTTAACCTATCCTATGTTGAAATTTTTCTCTGTTGCATGTGGCCACCATGTTGAATTTTTGTCAATGTTAATGAACTTTTTTTTTTAAATAATAATTGTGGCGTTAAAATTATTTTTTTTATTTTTCACAAACAAAATAGACATATTAATAAATATAAAAACAAAATAAATTATATTTCCAAAGTTTGTTTTATTATGAAAATTATGACAGTGACATCTAGTATCAAAAATGTTCTGATGCAGAAACAAATATGTTTGGGGTCAACCGGTCAGGTTAAATGAGGTCAACACGAAAATATTCAGGAACAACACAGGACAGGTTAAAAGTTATCATAGATTATATTCTTCTAGCATATCACAGACACTGGAGCAGAGGTTCACAATCAGTTTTATTTACTAATTCTGTTCCATACAGATACAAAATAAGAAATTAATATAGGAATTATATAGGAATTACTGTATTTTATAGCATATAAAATGCTTTCATTTTATTTTTATTGTAGTGTATAGAAGTGGATTTAGTGTTTTGTATTATTACCAATGCTACAGATATATTTTATTCACTCCTATTATTTTCTCCATGACTATAATGAGTTTTAATTACAAATCCATAAACAAAATCTTCTGCTCTCATCTTCTGATGTAAATTTGCTAAGCCAAACTTTTTTGCTTCAATTGCTTATTAGAAGCCAAGATTGTTGAAATTATTTATAATCTTGGTAAACACTGAATAAAAGATGACAAATTTATTAAACTTACTTATTTCACTCAGATAGTATTTAATTTAATAACTTTTGTAATTACTAATTTTCTATTTTATTGTTTCAGTGGTGTAAGACCCTTTGGTGTTTCTCTATTAGTAGCAGGCTGGGATGATACAAAACCATTCTTATTTCAATGTGATCCATCGGTAAGTTTTCTTATTTCATAATATTATAATGTTTTATAATAAAAAAAATATATCATGTTGATTGTAATAATTAAAAATATTTTAAAATTTAGTTATTCATTATTTACTTATGATTTTGTCATATACAAAAATTATAATGAAATACCTACTATCTATTGGTGTTAACCCCTTTTTGTCCACTTTTTTTAAAAAAATTTTTAAACAAAAAAATACTTAAAACTGAAAAAAAAACGAAAGAAATGCGTTAATTTTGGTTAAAAAGCTTCATCATTTAAGTTAGTTTGTCTTGCCTTTCTGTGAAATTTAACACCGATGAGTTATTGTTTACCCATCTGGATGACCTTGAACACAGCTGGAATCGGATTTCCCGAGACATTCTCATAGATGTCGCGGGAGGACAAGGGTTTAAAGTGGGTGAATTCGAAATTCGCGTATATTTTTAAATAATTTGGAGACTTAAAAAACATTCCAAAAATTCAAAAAAAATAATTTCAAAAGTGACCTTAACGACCGTTTTTTACGTAACACTATAAAACTTGCTCGAGTCACACTCAAGCGCGGCTCAGAAGGGGATTTATATAAATTATTAATTAATTAATTAATTTAATTTAACAATTTGTATTATAATGTCAACACAGACACTTTCAACATTTTATCAATGGCGTTTTTAGGCAAAGAATGTAACTTTGTAACATTATGCTAAATTAAAAAAAAAAGCAATGTTAAATGTTCAAAATGGAATACAAATTTTCTAAGTTAAACTAATATAAGCATGAGAATGGTGTGTGCAAAGAGGTAAATTGGTATATTTCATACTAATTTATCTCTTTAAATAACAAAAATTACAATAAAAACAAAAATTTATAAAAACTATAAAAATTAGATGGGAAATCCAAGAATTTGAATATCATTTTATAAAAATTTGAGTGTTTAACATTTATTTTGCTGTGGTATTACCTATTTGCCATGATTCTAAATTTACTAATGGCTTGTAAATTTTTATCTTTTATTTTATCTAATTTTTATTATTATTTCATACTAATTTACAGTACAGTAATACCCCGAACTTACGCGATAGGTGGGACCGAGCAATAACTGCGTAAGTCGAATTCGCATAAGTCGGTATAATTTCTCAATGTGTGTAAAATCCAAGTCGGGTGTATGTAAGCTAATAAATGTTCTCGTTAATCTTATATCGTCTTTTGATTCGTTCATTGTTACAAGAAATCACCACATAGAGTCTCTGAAGGCTCCGTAGATATAACAAACGCAGAAATAAATAACACAAAATAAATCGTAGCTATGTGTCGATTCCGCGCAACACGTCCGAACATGTAAGCTGAACAATAGTGTGGGGGAATGAATAATCCAGAGTTGCGTGGCGCTCAAACAAAAGACGAATCGACGAGATTTGAAAATCCCGTAACTCCGGGTTCGCATAAGTCCAGGTATTACTGTATCTCTATGTGCATACCATTCTCATGCCTATGTTAGTTTAAGTTTAACTTAGAAAATTTGAAGTCCATTTTCGAATACTTAATGTTGCTTTTTTTAAAACTTATCATATTTCAATTTTATGTTCTTTGTATGAAGATTACATTTATGAGATGTTGAAAGTGCTTGCATTGATGTTATAATAAAAGCTGTTTAATGCTGAGAGACAATAATTATTTCTTGTTTTAATGGATATTTTGGTACGGTAATCTAATCATTTTTATAATTGATATATCTGTAATAAAGGGTGGGTGGAATGTATATAGCATTGAGAAATTGCTCTAACTTCTATATTTCTAATGCAAAGATGTTGAAAATTATTTGATATGTACTTTATTAAATGAAAGTATGGATGCATACCTTAAAATTCAATGTCAGCACCATTGTCATCCACCGGCACACATTCTTTGATTATGATTTGGATGGACGGCTATATCTCTGTGTCTGCAACCAAAACTGTGGTCAATTTTTGATTATTTCTGGACAGATTGACATGACATCTTTTACCATATGCCACTATCTCTATACAACCACCACTGATTTCCATACCTCAGTATGTAACAATTTGTGCTCACAAACAGACAAGTGGTGAGCTATCTTTTTTGCCACTGTGCATGCTGCCTATCTTGGTCACTGCCTACTACCAATACAGGAATTATAAAATTCCATTGATTGATGTATATGCATGCATAATTTAATTTCATTATTATTACAAAAATTATAGCAATTTCTCAATGTCTAGTTAGTTTTCACCTACCCTATCCTATACATTTAAAATTCAAAATTAAATTCTTACTCCATAATGCCATTGAAGTTCTTTCTGCAGTTACACATTTTTACCATCATTCATACTGTTTATCAATTAGATGTTTTGACATCTAATTTATAAGCAGTATGAATACTGGTTAATTTCATTGAGTTATAACAATGTTTTTTAAATTACAAGATTTTCTTAATAAAGAATAATCAATGGTAAGATACAAGAAATCTTACCATTGATTATTCTTTATTAAAGTTTTTAATGTACATACTGATATTATATGTGTGATAAATTATTATTAATTGATCACAGATGTGAATTATCATGAAGCAATATGAAACTCCTGGATTGGATCACCAAAGACATTCAGAGACAGAACTTCTACCATAAATATAATAAACAAGCCAAATTTTTATAGCCTTTATAATCTTCAAAATCTAGATTGTTTTGGGCTATAATTAGGATAATGTTTTAAATTCAGAATTCCTAATTATTGGGCAGCTATTTTGTGCTAAGATTAACTTTCTTATCTTTATGCCAAATTTCATAATTTAATTAACTAAAAAATTTGTTTCATTATAGTCTAAAAAAAATTCAGCTTTTAGATATGTTTGTTATCTGCCACATTTATTGGGAGCTAATTGTATACAGAATAAAGCATGATCAATGTTTAATTTTAAAAATGTATACAAAAACAACAATAATAATAATTTTACTATTATTGTCATTTTTGATTTTACAATTCCAAATATTTTATTTTAGGGTGCCTATTTTGCTTGGAAAGCAACAGCTATGGGAAAAAATCATGTTAATGGAAAAACATTTTTAGAAAAAAGGTAAAATTATATAAATCAAGATTAGTTAAGTTTTAAATTAACACAGTTTCTGGTTTTAATTACAAAATTCAGATATAATGAAGAATTAGAACTGGAGGATGCTGTACACACCGCCATTCTGACACTTAAAGAAGGATTTGAAGGTCAAATGACAGCAGATAACATCGAAATTGGAATTTGCAATGAGAACGGTTTTAGGAGGTTGCAGACATCAGAAGTGAGAGATTACTTGGCCAACATTGGTTAAAATTTGGTTAATGACTCAAAAGGAGAAAATCAGTGATCACTGTTGATAGTTTTTTTTTTATTTTAATAATAAAATTTTCTTTATTTTAAAATATACTGAATTTAAACTCTAAAAATTTATTAAAATTTCAATAAAATGTTTTGGAATAATTATAATAATAATGTATTCATTTAGATTATACAAAACAATAAGAAAACTATATCTTTTTAATATTTGAATTTATTTGAAATTAAAAGAATCAGAAAAATTTGAAAAATATATTTAAAAATAAGTAGTTCTATTATTTTCTTTACTAAATTATAAATTGATGATTGAAAAGACATAAATAAAATTTGTTTTTTCACTTTTAAATATTATCGAAAAAGCTGTTTTATATAACATTATGGGTACTAAGAGGGCCATTTATTTGTTTTATCACGAATTTGTTATATAAAACAGCTTTTTCGATAGTGTTTAAAAGTGGAAAAACAAATTCGTTTATCATGAATTGAATTTGTTCGCCATTTATTCGTGTTTATCTTGAATTTTGCCAGGCTCAGTCTCAGGTTCTTTTCAGTTTCCATTTATTTTCAAAATGATTTGTATTTAAATTCGAAAGTGCAGGCGACAACAGAAGTAAATTGGTGTCAACTGTCAATGGCCGGAAATAACGTCACATCATCCTATCTGACGAAGAGAACTCTAGATACTGTCAGTCGAACGTAAAAGTTAAATTACAGTTGTGGTTTCTATTTCGATAAATAATGTCTCTAATCGCAATATATAACGCTCGTTGATAGTAACGATTTTCGATATTCATTTTAGGAAGATATCTGAAAATATGAAAGGAAATTTTTTAAAAATCCAGCAACGAGTTGTTTAATTAACTCCAAAGACCGCCAGTGCCCGAGTGGATAATGTTTAGTATATGCAATGGTTTCCGAAACGGAAATTTCCCGAACTATATCGCCATTCTATATTGCGGTCATCATGTCACAAAATATTAATTTGTAACGATGAGAAACATAAAGAATAAAGCAAGTTTTCTCTGATAAAGATAAAAAATAACGAAAATAAACTGTATAGAAAAATTTCACAATGTCTCTAGATTTGTTCAGCTTCCCAGAATAAGGAGTGATCTAAAAGACGCTTCTACTTCCTACATAAATATACTAAATAAATCAGCAACTATAATTGCTCAATTTTTCCGGCAACATTTAGAATTTTGCTGGCGCCATCTGTTAACAATATAAGTTTAAGGCCGATGGCTGAGCGGTCAAAGAGGCAGCCTATCGCTCTTGAGGAGATGGTCGGGCCCCGTACCTCACCACCCGGCCGCTCCATTGTGGACATGGCTGAGTCCATAACGGGCTTGTTAATAGAGGTTTAAGTCGACGTCATGAGCATGCGCAATTGTCCGGCACCATATTTGCGGTTTGTTTACGTTTTATTTGTGTTTATGCGCGCTTTAGCTGGAGTTCTTGTGTTCGTTATTCGTCGCGAATTGCTGTGTAATTGAGTGTAATGCGAGTTCACTCAAGAACAAAGGAACGTCATTTTTTAAAATTCCCGGCATTATTTGTCATCAAGGACCCCAAACCGAGGAGCTTTCACGACGAAGGCAATTTGCATGGCTCTCGAGAATTAACCAGAAAAATTTCAATACGGATAAAGTGAATATTAATACAGGAGAGTCAGAAACATTTCATTTCAGGTAAGCAATAACATTTGATTACTATTTATCGATAAATGATTAGATAAACTTTTGCATGAGTATAAAGTACAAGTGTGTACAGTACAAGCCGGTTGTATAAATCCCTTTCTTAATGCAGACAAAAGTTAGACAATAATTTTAACAACCGCAGAATTTAGTTTGAATACATAATAATTGTGTTCTACCTTTATTTTTCACCTTTCAGTTTGTTTTCTTAGTCTCTGCTTGTAATAAATATACAGTAGAGTTAATATTAAAGCGTTAAGTCAAGATAATCACTTAGCAGATGTATTAGAAATGAATTTTGAACCAGTTGTCCTTCCAGTCTAATTTACATAAATTTAAAAGTGTATTTTTTAAGATAAACGAATAATTTCATTGTTCATTTACAAAAAGCTAAGTTAAATTATTTTGGTGAGCAATATTAACATTTCTTTAAGGTGTTACTAATGTAAAAAAAATTAATTGTAAAAAGCAACAAATAATCACTACATAGTAACCTTCAAGTTGCTCCTGACAAATTGTTATTTATTATTTATATATAACATACCGTAATGGTACTGTACGTTATTTTTAATACTAATATATTATTGAAAAAGTTTTTTACTCTAAGGAAAAACCTTCGTCATTTTATGACGAGTCATCACCAGACTGGATGCCAACATACATGGGGTATGAGAGTGACCACAACCATTGTTGATAGATATACTAGTTCTTGAGCTGCCAATAGCTCCAATGCTACGATAGTGGCGTAATAAATATTTCTGCCACTTCGAGCGCTTCACGGCGTAAGTTTTGTTCCAGCATAGGGAGAGTCGGCTGTAAACATTCCTAATTGTTTTAATACATGAAATTTTCTTGTTTTCAACTTAGATATTGCTTTTGTTTTTTAAATTAAAGGTCTGCTTATAAATACTATTTCAATTCGGTTTTGAACATTATTTATTAGTAAATGTCGTTAATATTTATTAGTTGTCATTTTCACGATTTTAGACTTTAAATTGATTAGGCTGTTTTTTGCTTACAATTTGTGTTCATTTAAAAATATTTTTGGGAGTTCTCGTTAGGGTTAGAGGGGAGATTTAAAAAACGGTTGATTTAGTTCTTAGATTTCAAATACAGTAGAGCGTCGTTTATTCGAACCATTTGGGGGCTGTGGTTCGGATAACCGATTATGTACTGTACGAAAAAATATATTAACCTATCCCAGGTTGAAATTTTTCTCCGTTGCGTGTCGCTTTGCGTGGAATTTTCGTCGATGATAAGCCTAACGTAAACTTTTTAAAATAATAATCATGGTTATCGTTAAAAGTTATTTCTTTATTTTTTACNGACACAATTTGAAAATTAACTTTAAGAAAAAATAATTTTATTTCTTATATTTATAAATAATTTTACTTTTCTTTCTAATAAAAAACGTGTGTAAAAATTTTTTTAATGCCAAAAATGCTGCCCTGAAAGAAGTGCCTCCTGGGGCAGACTGTCCTCTTTCCCCACTCCTAGCTATGCTGCTGGGAACACAACAGACTAATCTTTGTAAGAACTGTCTTTGATCAAACAATATATATTACACAGTAATTGACATAAATATATGAATACCAGTGATGGAGATCTGGTAATTGTTATTAAGTAGTCTCCAACATGATCATGTATAACAAATAAATTACCAAGATATTTGTTAACATCCATAACAATCAAGTCTCAATAGCACNGGAGAGTCGGCTGTAAACATTCCTAATTGTTTTAATACATGAAATTTTCTTGTTTTCAACTTAGATATTGCTTTTGTTTTTTAAATTAAAGGTCTGCTTATAAATACTATTTCAATTCGGTTTTGAACATTATTTATTAGTAAATGTCGTTAATATTTATACAGTGGTATCTCAGGATACGAAATTAATCCATTCCGAAACTGAGATCATATCATGAAAATGTCGTAAGGTGAATCATTTTTCCACGTACGATTACATGTAAATCCAAATAATTCGTTCCAACATGAAAAGAAACACTCAAATTAAAGCTAAGTAGTACATTAAAAAATAATAATAACTATAGTAAGGAAAACACTGAAAAATGCGTTTTGTAGTTTTAAATGTATAAATAACCATAATAGAATAATAATTGATTTAAAAATTGTAGTTTTATTTGCACTTTATCTTTGAGGATAGACAGCAGTGGAGGTGTAAACTGGTGGCGGGAGAAGGGAAATGATGATAAACTTAACTTACATAACTTAATTAACAATAACTTAAAAATAACTTAGAAAAGATAAAAAAATTAGTGTTGTTTTATATATATATATGTTTATTTATTTAAATGTTTATTCACTGCTTTTTGCTTTCCTTCACTTCTACCAGCATTTTCACTGGATAGAGGTCGCTTGGTAAAATATCTATCCAAAGAGGTTTGGCTTTGCCTATTTTTAAAATGTTTCTAAAATGACTTAGGCAAATGTCATTACTCTGAGCAGCAATACGGCCAGTGTGAACATTTTTGGGATGTTTCTTTTCAATAAAATCAGTCACTTTCTGATAATACAAGATTTCCTTTATCGAGCGAGATCCTTCCACGACGAAGCAAACATGCGGACTGAGACCGATGAACAGAAGCAGAGTCGGTAGATTAACTGGTCTTTCGACTTCCTATCTTCGGTCGTTGCTAAAATCAACTAGAGACAAATGTTACCACCAGGGGCATTGCAATCACTTCAAGAGCGCTAGTTCGAATCGCTGTGAGGTCGAATGTTTTCTTTTTATTGAAAGATATATAACCTTCGAGTTCGATTTCATACTTTTCTATATGAATTTTATTATAAGAATGAAAAACCCTTTTTAAGAATGAAAAACTTTTATTTAAACCCAAAACCAGGTTTATGGATAAATAAATGACACTTAATAAAACATTAAACACCTTCCATCGCTGAGAAATGTTTATTTAATAAAACACTAACATTTTCAGCCTCATGGAATAAACCATTCTCGGGTGTAAATGACTTCGAACGTACTTTATTAAATAAACACGTGACCTTCCCTCTATCTCCTTTCTCCTTTAAAATTCTACTTTTTATTTCTATATGAAGTCAAGAACTGTTTTTTGATTAAATAATAAATAAATAAAATAAATATATGAGGAACGTGTAAAAAATTAGTTGGAAAAATTAATTAATTTTGTGGCAAAAAAATTTCTAGATGATGACAACAGTTCATAAAATACAAATGAAACCGAATTACAGTAGAGCGCCGTTTATCCGAAAGAATTCCAGTCGGCAAATTTAAATTTTCGCCAGTGCTATGGCGCTGCAATCTTTGGCTATGTCTTGGGCTACTCAAATATTTTACGTTTTTGATACTAAATTAACTTCTGGAGTATAATTTTCTATTGTTTTTATATTTTTCAATATATTTATTTTGTTTGTACAAAATAAAAAAAAATTT